TGAAGTTATAGCCTATGTACTCTTAGGAGACTAGGAGGTAACACAGAGTTCAAATGAATGAAGGCAAATATACGTGTCCCAGGATAATATTGCAGGGTCCGATCTGGGTCAGTCCCTGGGACTAGAGCAGTGGTGGTATTCAGCTGGTTCTATGTGGTTCAGGCGAACCGGTAGTGGCAGTGGCTGGAGGCTTTGCCCACCCACCCCAGATGTCATCACACCCCGGTTTTGATGCTCTGCGTATGTGCGGAAGGTCCTGCGCTCACATTTGCAAACCAGTAACGAAGGTAAGTGAGTACCACCCCTGGACTAGAGGTTTAGTCTTCCAAGCTTTCAGACTCATGCTGGAGCCCATCCTCAGGGAACATCTCTCTAGCAGAGTGTGTGCTTTCAGCTATTCTGAGTGTGGTATTTATATGTGGCTTTTTTAGTTGTTGATTGGGGTGTTGATGGCTGGCTATTAAGTCATTGGCTGTTGTTTCCTTGTGCTGTTAAGCCCTCACCTCCTAAGATGGTGTTAAAGCAGCACTCCTGTTGATTGATGAGGAGCCTGTTTCCCAACCCATGCTGTTTTTGTACCTGCTCATCCAACAATCTTAGTAGCTACAAAACTGAATGTATACATCAGAGATTAAATGTCTATGAGTTAACATGGCAATTCAGGATGGAAGAATTAGGTGCAGATTGGTACACGAGTGTACAGTTTGCAGAAAACTTACCTTCCACACTGCTGCTGGCAAGGAAAACAGCTGTGGCAATCCACTCTACCACGCCGATCAGCTGGGCTTTGGAAAATGGAAATATAGGTAAGTCTAATGCAGGGGCAGGAGGGCAGTCCCACTTCAAAATCGGAGCGAAGCGGTTCGCTCACGGCTGAAAGTTGGCGCTAACGGTTCACTCGAACTGGTGCGAACCAGTAGAATACCACCACTGGTGTTGATGCTAAAGGAACTGTAAATTTAGTCACCATTGCATTCTCTGGCTGTGGTAAGTACTGATTTTCTAGAAAAAAAATTGCCACTTTCTAGCACTCTTATTCACCGCTGGTTTCCTCCCGTATCTTCCACAATTCAGTATACAATGTCTCCAGGTAACCTGTGGATTTGCATTTTCTAGGTGAACGGGCATCCTGTGCACCTCCCAGCTCAGCCTTCCAAGGAGGTCTCCATAACCCTGGTCCAAGATACGGTGGTAGTGGCACATGAATCAGGTGTACGGGTTCTCTATAGCACTGGGGGTGACTTAACAGTGACAATCAGCGCAACCCTGGCCAACAAAGTGTTCAGATCCTGTGGGAACTTCAACAATAATGGTGCAGATGACTTGAGGCTTCCACATGGGAAGAAGGCCCACACTATTACTGAAGTCCTGAACTACTGGAGAGTTAGAACAGGAATACAACAAGGTACATAAGGATAGAAATGTCTTTCTTTTTCTTAACATTTTTCTAGTTTTGCTCTCTAATTTAACCCCATCTTTAGACAATAAATGGGACGCGATTGCTCAGTGGCTAAGACACTGAGCTTGTCGATTGAAAGGTCGGCAGTTCAGTGGTTCAAATCCCTAGTTACCTTTACCTTAGACAATAAAGTGGAAACTAATCCAGGAGAGAACCAACCTAGAACGAAGGAGAAATTTCCTGACAGAACAATTAATCTGTAGAATGACTTGTCTCCAGAAGTTGTGGGTGCTCTAACACTGGAAGGTTTTTTTTTTTTTTAAGAGATTGGATTTGTCTGAAATGGTATAGGGCAGGGGTCTTCAATCTTTCTGGCTTTGCGGACTGGTGGGGGGGGGATGGAAGGGTATGGTTCCACACAAGCAGCGGGCACGCACACTCACATGCGTAGCTCCATTTGCACAGGTAGGTAGGTCCATGCAGCTACCGCTCACACAAATCAAGTTTTCTGAGTTACAGCACCTGCCACTTCTGCAAATGGAGCTTCGTGTGCAAGTATGAGTGCCCACTGCCCACGCAAATGGAGCTGCATGCACGAGCACGAATGACCGCCACTGGTGTAGCCCAGTTCTGAACGCGTCGCAGCCCGATGGCAGGCCTCAGCCTGGGGTTTGTGAACTTCTGGTATAGGGTTCATGATCAAGCAGGGGGTTGGATTTGAAGACCCCCAAGGTCCCTTCCAACTCTGTTGTTCTGTTAAAGAAGAAACTGAACATCATGTTCCCATCAGTGCCTACTGGTGCAAACATCTAAGTGCACCATAGCCTGGCATTTGACCATCCATGCTTAAGGAAACGTGATCTACTTAATGTTTGCCCCTCTTAATATTAACGTCTTTTCAAGCTTCATATGGAAGTGCTAAACATTCATTTATTTTTATTCATTTATTGATTTGTCAAACACGTAAGATAACAGATATAAGTATAAACATGATTATGAATATAGTATATGCAATGGTGGGATTCAAATAATTTAACAACCGGTTCTCTGCCCTAATGATTCCTTCCAACAACCAGTTCACCAAACTGCTCAGAAAGTTAACAACTGGTTCTCCCGAAGTGGTGCGAACTGGCTGAATCCCACCACTGAGTATAAGAATACGAATAAATGGGGACAGTAGGATAGGGACGGTAGGCACGCTGGTGCGCATATGCATGCCCCTTACAGACCTCTTAGGAATGGGGTGAGGTCAACAGTAGACAGTCTAAGGTTAAAGTTATGGGGGTTTGGGGAAGTTAGGTAATGCATTCCAGGCATTGACCACTCTGTTGCTGAAGTCGTATTTTCTGCAATCAAGTTTGGAGCAGTTTACCTTGAGTTTGTATCTATTGTGTGCTCATGTATTATTGCAGTTGAAACTGAAGTAGTCATTGCCAGATAGGAAGTTGTAGCAGTTAATTTTATGTACTACGCTTAGGTCAGACCAAAGACGGCATAGTTCTAAATTTTCTAATCCCAAAACTTCAATCCTGGTGGCATAAGGTATTCTGTTGTGAACAGAGGAGTGGAGGACTCTTCTTGTGAAATATCTCCGGACTCGCTCGATTGTATTAATATATATATAGTGCGGGTTCCAGGCAGATGAGCTGTATTTGAGAATTGGTCTAGCAAAGGTTTTGTATGCCCTAGTTTGCAGTACAATATTACCAGAGAAGAAGCTTCGCAAGATTAGGTTAACAACTCTTAATGCCTTTTTGGCAATGTTGTTGCAGTGAGCATTTATTGCCCTGAGGGGGTGGGATGGCATATGGTTGTTTGAAATTCAAAATACCAAACACTTTTTTCTTTTTTCTTTTTTCTTTTTTAAGCTTATTTCAAAAGCCACTCCTATACGGCACCTTGATTCAAGATCAATTTTCATAACACCAACATTCCCAGGAATGCAGTCTGGACTGTATCATGGATGGACGGAAGAGAAAATTCTTTTCTTTATATGAACCCATTCGATTAGCATCTCTGAAAATCTGCATTTGAGCACATTGGGCAATGGCGTTTACAACTAAAATGGTAAAATTATGTATATTAAAAATCCACAGACGCATAAGTATTTGGAGAAGAGAATCCACAATGGCATTGAGTTAAGGGAAATGGATGAGAAAGGGATTCCCCAATGTGTGCAAATTTTGTGTGAATTTTCATGTATTTTTTAAAAAAATGTATATTGAATACTGAATGCTGGGAAATTCAGCAAATTTGACAGATTTACCTTTTCCTACAAGCAGGAATATCTTCTAGTGCAAGATTCACTAACTTTAGTAACTTTAAACCAGCATGAGGAATTCTGGGAGCTGAAGTCCACATGTCTTAAAGTTGTCAAGACTAGCTGTAGAATTCTGGGAGTTGAAGTCCATGTGTCTTAAATTTGCCAAGGTTGGGAAATTTTGTTCTAGGGTCCCAGACCACAAGTGAACAACTGGTCTTGTAAGCACAACATAGCATCTTTTGTTCTATTGCCAACAGCTACCTCCCACCAACTGGATTCACATATCCTACAAACCTACTTATTAATTGAGATCACCAGCATAAGCTCTGGTTTGTTTCTAACACTGAGCGAAGCCTACATCAAACAAGCAACACTACTACTAATGTAATGGTGATGTCTGAATCCCGCCATTGATTCACAAATACTGAAGCCCCAGCAGTTGAGATGATTGTACTTAACTTGGATTCTAGCTAGGATCTGCTTTGTTAAAAAAAAAAATCTACTTTCTTTGATGTTTTACATTAGTTACCTACGAAACATCAACATGATCTGCTGAATTAATGTGGCTACCGTATTCGAGTTGCAAAAGTTCAGTTGACCACAAGGTGTCACCAGAGATTTCCACCTCTTCGCTGCTGTCTAGTGGTTATTCAGATACTTGCAATCTAGATATGGTAGCTCTAAATATACATAGTAGCTGCTCACGGCAACATAAGGTTTAGATATATAGCTTTTATTTTACTTTATTTTTTTGGTGAGGGAGGTTGAGTGTTTTGGATCATTTTGAACTAACGCTGTTGAAACTGTTAGAATCAATTAAAGCTTTTGATAAAAGATTTTTGCAGTTTTCCGTGCTGTTTACATTAAACCTGTTGCAGCTTTAACAGAAACATTTACACTGTACCCATACAGTTTTCTATGTAAGCCATTCCAAGGAGGAAGAATTTAGCAGGCTCTGTAGAATGGTTAGAATAGGGGAAGGTAGAATTTAATTGGTTGCAATGTCTTTGGGTTTTAAATCTTTCTTGTACACATAGAGGCAACCAAATGCACATACGGGTGAACAAATCCACCTACAACTTTGCTAAAGGCTGTAGCTGTTTCATTGATTCGGGCCCAAAGATAAGTCAGAAGAATTCCGTAAACATGTTCTCTCATTCAAACCTCACATCCATCACCTGTCTTGCATTCAAAGAACCCACTAGCCCTTTTAAATAAACAATGATCCCTCGTCACAATCAAAGCCTCATGCTAGAAGCAGGAGGAGGAGGTTCAACCAAGATCTAGCTGCCATGGGGAAAAAAACAGCAATCCAAACAACGAAGATTTGAAGCAAGATTCTTTATTAAAATACCCTATAACAGTGATTTCTGGGCTCCCGGCCAAACTGACTGAGATATAGCAAGAAAGATGATAGATTGAGAAAAGAGATGGAAAAGGTGTATTGACAATCATTAAGCATGCAGATAGAAAAAGCACCCAAATCTATATGGGCAATGAGGTAGTTAGATTTGGCCTTGAAAACAGCACCCCAGTTTCCCTGTTCCCCCTTATTCCTTTTGTTATGATAATCAGATGAGCCTTTTTTCAATCCTTCTCCACAAAATACAAGCCTTGTTATCCTCTTCGTGCTCCCTTCCACAGGATCACACTAAACTAAATTATGATGGCAAGGGGTCCTCAAACAACGAATCAATTTTTAATTAAGATGAATCTACTTTTACAGAGTTTTAAATTCCGTGTTGCTTAGCTTCATTGGAGCAATTCCTATGGAAAATCAGACCTCCGGAAATTTCTGTTTCCCACGTCAACGTCCTTTGATGGTGAGGCTTGCCGAAGAACTTCCTTCTTGATTTCAATCCACTATCCCATTAGCATCATCAGATCAGCCGGTTCAATCTTATCCCTAGGCACACTAAGAAGTAAAAGAGAGATAACGTATAAGAAGAAGGAAGGATGTTTGAGAAACGGCATCTAGCAAAGTACACGAAGCAAATAGGAGCTTTTAGAGAGCACAAGAGATTGCCAGCACAAGAGAACTTAGGATACTAATTTCCCCATCAGACCGATCTTACTGCCGAGATCTTGGTCTTCTTTGGCTTGGTTAGCTTCCCTGTCTCATCTTCAGCTGTTCCTATCTGTTATGTGGGTTCTCCTTTCTCTGTGTGTTGATGGCTGAGTGTTGTGATAGGGAGGTGACTGAACCAAGTAGATCAATGAGAGAGAGGAACACAAGCTATAAAAAATAGGGTCAAAGGCAGCCATGCATAAGAAGTCATCACTACCTGGTGCCAAAGCTCTGATGATGATGATGATGATGATGATGCCTAGTTTGGTGATATACTGTTTACAAGAAGAAACAACAAACACCAAATTCCCAACATTTCAATCTACACATTTTTGCAGAACAACTGCCCCTAGGAAAACCTTTGCACAACTAGGAGCTGGATCAGGGGTGGGATTCAGCCTATTAAAACCAGTTGGGGCGAACCGGTTGCACCGATCAGCTGAGAGTGAATCAGTTCGCTCTGACAATTATGTGCACCTGCCCGCCTGCCCCTGCACTATACTGACCTTTATTTTCTTGTTTTGAAGCCCAGCTGATTGGCGCGGCAGAGCGGATTGCCGTGCCTCAGCTGTTTTACTCACCGGGGCTGCAGTTGAAGGTAAATTTTAGACTGGTTTGGAAATGAAGCACCTGTGTGCGGAGAGCGTGTTTGGCACACGTGCACTCAGTGAACCATTTGTTACACTGGTTGAATCCAGTGAGCTGGATGTGCCTTGCCCTGGATCAGAAGGTCCTGTTCACTGTCTTTGGTCACCTCCAAACTGGATTACTGTAATACACTCTATACGGGCTGCCCTTGAAAATCACTGAGGGATTACAATTGATCCAAAATACATTAGCACGAGTAGCAAAGGTGCATTTAAGCATGCCCCAGACAACACCACTCATTTCCAAACTACATTGGCTTCCTATAGGTTCCAGGTGTAAGTCAAGGTCTGAGGAGTCCTTGGTGCTCTCTGAGCTTGATTGTGGCCGGTATTGATGATGCTACCTAGTTTGGGTAATGAAAAATAACCCAAGTGCAGACATTTCATTACCCAACTAGATAACATCATCAGTGCCAGTGGTGTGGGGTTTGCTCTCTGTTCATAGACAGTAGCTTGCCCTGCCAGTGTGAAGGATGTGTGGTTTCTTCCTTAGAGAACACCAAGAACGCCTCATTTCAACCCTGAGCTACAAATATGCTCCTTTATTGGTAGTTCAAATTCTGAGTGATGCGATGGCCCTAGAGGTGGAGCTCATGCCTCACATTCAGGAGGCTGTGAGTTCAATCCTAGCTAGAGGCAGTTATTTCTCTCTCTGGGCACAATGAGAATATATCTGCTGAACAAAGCTCCGCATTGACGACAGGAAGGGCATCCAGCAATTGAATGGAGCTCTGCTAGCTCCATTCAGTTGCCCAGACTCCACCCCGCAAGGGATTATAGAGTCGTTAAATGATGATGATGATTGGTAGTTCAAGGTCTGTTTGCCACCTATAAAACCCTACATTGCACAAGTTATTTGCAGATATCCCTACTGATACATACTCATCCCATACCCTCCAAAAGATTGGGCATGCTTCATGTTCCTTCCCTGACACGATGCCATCTGATGGGACCAGATGACATACCTTACAGTTGTGACACCGGCTTTCTGAAATGATCTGCAAAGTCCCACCCAAAAGTTTTACTTGCATGCAGATTTTTTTTTTCCATTCGTGTCTACAGAAGGAGAAGCCTCAGGATCCCCGATGCTTCCTCTAAAATGGATGGAGCGCCTGGGAGACGTAAGGTACACACCAGAGCATTTTCAGTGCAAGGGAATGTGTATAAATCTGATCTCTGTTAAATATGTCCAGGAGGTCAGACTCTGGTATTTCCAGCCATTCGCTCTGGTACATTTACAGTTTCGTGATTTACAACAGAATAAAACGTTGTTATCTATTTCAGAGGGGAAACGTTCTGGTGAGTGACAAATGGCTCCCAGATGCAAGCATATCCTTCTCCTGCATTGAGGGCAGCCAAAGCTCTTAGCTCTGTCTGTCAAACATTAACGGCCCCTCATTCTCCTCTTCCGAACACCACCAGATCACGATGCTAGATCAAAACACCGTCCGTTTCCCAGAGCGTTTTTAGAGAAACCATTGGAGGCAATAACTAAGAGCAGAGGTGGCATTCAGACCGGTTCGGACCAGTTCAGGCGAACTGGTAGTAGCGGTAATAACTGGTAGTTGTAGCGACCTGCGGGTGGGGTGGGCCACCTGCCCTCCCACCTGCCCTCCCGCCCTGGTGCTATGTCATCATATTTAGCCACATTTTCAAGCTGTGCACATGCGTGGAAGCCGTACGTGTGAGCAAAGCACATGTATGGAAGGTCGTGCACATGCACACTCACATTTTCGGTGCTGGGCGAACCGGTAGGTAAATGATGTGAATCCCACCCCTGGCTAAGAGCCAGAGAAGGGCATCAAAAATGTTAAGTGGAAAAAACGACATCCACAAACACCTTCACTGCATTTCAAAGTCATAAGAAGCCACTGAAATGTCAATGAATGTTCTTCTCTCAACCCAGCACTGCTGCCCTACAGCGGTTTCAAGTCAATGTCCCAAAGGTGCTTTTTTTCAAGAGGCAACAGGGGTTTTCTGGCTTTTCTTTGAAGACGTTTCGCTTCTTATCCAAGAAAAAAGTCCAGTTGCCTCTTGAAAAAAAAGCACCTTTGGGACAACCATGACCTGGATGACTGAGAATCTCCATTAGACTTTCAAGTCAATGGTTCTTTTAGAAAGTTGATGGCTCAGCTTGCTGTTTTTAATTCAAGCAACGGTAAAGTTTTCCCCTATCCGGTCGTGTCCAACTTTAGGGGGCAGTGCTCATCTCTGTTTCTTAGCCAAGGGAGCCAGCATTGTCAGAAGACGCTTCTGTGGTCATGTGAACTATATGCTGAGGCACATGGAATGCTGTTACCGTCCCATCAAAGTGGTACCTATTTATCTACTCACATTTGCAGAACTTTCCAATTGCTAAGTGGGCAAGAGCTGGGGCAAGGACAGGAACTCATCCCGTCTCACGCCATTTGGGTCTCGAACACGGGCTGTCCACTTTCCAGCTAACTAACTCAGCATCCTTAACCATTGAGCCATCGTGCCCCTCCCCCTTAATTCAAGGAAAGCCTTATTATCAGTAGATTAGCCTGGGAGACAGAGTAGGGAGGAATAATCAAAAATTCATTTACCAGAGGAGCGAAATCTCTGGCCGTCCAAGACAACAAGAGTTCCGGAATGTTGCCGACATCCACTCCGCCTGGTCCCTTCAAGTCATCCGCTGGGGTGTAGTTGAAGTTTCCACACGCTCCGCACAATTTCCCTGCCAAAGCTGGGCTGACAGACACGGCTATTCTGTGATTTGGGCCAAATGTTATTTGAACCTGAGGTATCTGCAGGACAATCACATCACCGGTCAAGTCAAACTTCACTACGTTTGTGATCTCGGCTGGGATTCTCACCGGCAGTCCATTCACCTGGAACACACGAACAGAGACCAACAAAGTTAGATAGGGATGCAAGGAAAATATCCGGTTGTGTTGCCGCCGGAGCAGGGGGTGGCGGATGGGAGGTTATTTTATGATGTTACTTTATTAATTTATTATATGATTCTCTCTTTTATTAATTTTATTGTTTTTTATAGGAGGTTTTTATATTCTTCTAAGCTGCCTTGAGTCACCATCTGTGGGAATAGACGGCAATATAAATTTCCTAAATAAATAAATTCTCCTCTAAATGCTGCAGTGAGTTAGGCCATCGCTTACTTTTTGTTTTTCTTGGTTTATGTCTCTGCTACCTTGTACGGATTTCCAGGTTGGTGGCATGCAACACCTTATGGGTTGCTCCAACACTGGAGGTTTTTAAGAAGAGATTGGGCAGCCGTTTGTCTGGGATGGTATAAGGGGGTTGGACTAGAAGGCCTCCGGGGTCCCTTCCAACTTAGTTCTTCTGTGATGCTAAGTTAAGAATGGAAACTATACAAGCTTGAGGTGATTTAATCTGCAGAACAGGAATAGTTTACTTGGTACCTTGTGGCGGGGGGTGGGGGGCTGCTGGGTTTTGCAGGGGTTCGGGAGAACCTATAGCTAAGATTCTGTGCAGTTCAGAGAACCCTCAAATCCCACTCCTGGCTGGCCCCATCCACCCTGCCTCTCCTCTCCCAGGAGTCCCCACGCGGCCCTTTTTGGATGCAGGGTAAGTGCAGGTCGCATGCGGAAGCTCGGGGAGGGCGAAAAACAGGCCTACCGGAAGTTTGGGAAGGCCGGAAATGGGCCCATTTCCAGCTTCCAGAAGGCCTCTGGAGCCTGGGGAGGATGTTTTCACCCTCCTGGAGTCTCGAGGAAAGGTTCCGGAGCCTGGGGAGGGCAAAAACACCCACCACCACCCCGCCGTGGTGCAGGAGGCCAACTAGGCCATGCCCACCATGGCCACGCCCACCCAGCAACCAGGCAGAGAACCCCTTGCTAAAATTTTTGAAGCCCACCGCTGCCTTGTGGATGGTTTGGGATTATCGTTGCTATAATTCTCTATCAACTGCGGTACGTAAAGCTAACTAAACGTCTTCTCAAACCCAGTTACCAGTAGAGAAAACAGTGAGAAACAAACAGCTAGCTCTGAGACCCAATTGTTCAGAGCCTCAGATCCGAGTTTGTCACTCTTTGGAAATTAAATCACCCAGCCTCTCACTTACTTGAGTTGGCAGCTATAGAAATTGAATGAATAAATAAAATTAAGTGGGCACTTTGGGGATTTTCAGCACATGCTACGCCATTCTCACAAAATGGGGGCTCTGGGGAGGGCCGTGCCTAGCTGCAAATGGCTGCAATAATGTTAGGAAGAACCAGGCCCAAGGGATCAGGAGACAAGGGGGCCAGTTTCCCTCCCCCTCCCCCAACTAACCATTGTCTAGTCACCCAGGAGTCTCCCTCCCCTACTCATTACATTCTGCCCAGGCAAAAGGGAGAACAAGGCGCTTAGCTGCACCTTCCTATCCTATCCATCAGGAGCTGTGGTGGCCGAGTGGTTAGAATTGCAGTCTTGCAGGCAAACTCTGCCCATGGTCTGAAGTTCGATCCTGACTGGCTCAAGGTTGACTCAGCCTCCCATCCTTCCGAGGTCAGTAAAATGAGAACCCAGATTGTTGGGAGCAATTGTTGGGACACTGTAAACTGTCCAGAGAGTATGAGCCCGTATTTATTTATTTGTTTGTTTGTTTGTTTGTTTGTTTGTTTGTTTGTTTGTTTGTTTGTTTGTTTATTGGTTCGGTTTATATGCCGCCCTTCTCCGGAGACCCAGGGTGGCTTACGCAATAGCCTTCATACTTTTGTTAAGCAATATCCTTCATACTTTTGTATATACCTGCTTAGTAGGGCTTTCGACCCCCCCTAAGCGGTGTTCTTTTTTATACAAAGTCAGCTTATTGCCCCCACAATCCGGGTCCTCATTTTACCTACCTCTAAAGGATGGAAGGCTGAGTCAGCCTTGAGCCTGGTGAGATTTGAACTTGCAGTAATTGCAGGCAGCTGGTGCTACTTAACAGCACTTTAGTCTGCTGTGCCACCAAGGCTCTTTGTGATATAAGCACTTAGATATAAATCCAAGTGCTATTGCTACTGCTATTTTCTGAGCCCCATGAGCAAAATATCAGTCTCATGTTGCCTGACCCCCAAGGCTGCTATGATTTCTGGGTGAGCAAAACCCTCTTCCCTACAATGCAGTGTGGGCCTCAGTTGCACAGCAGAGAATGACTCGACCGTGTTCCCATGTAAGCCAAACCTGTGACAACGTTTCAGATGACACAACTAATCTTGCAGGAGTTCCCATGAAGAGCTCAAGGGAAGAAGTACAGATAGTCCTCATTTTATAACAACAGCACTAAGAAAAAGTAACTTATGACCGATTTTCATACTTATGGCCAGTGGTGGGTCGCTCCCAGTTCGGTCCGGTTCTTGAGAACCGGTAGTAAAAGTGGCGGGAGGCTCCGCCCACCCGCCCTGACATCATATTTGGCGATCTGCACACATTCCCGTTGCGAACCGGTAGTAAAGGTAAGTAGAACCCACCTCTGCTTATGACCCTTGTAGCATTCCCATGGTCACGTGATCGAAATTCAGACGCTTAGCAACTGATTCATATTTATGACGGTTGCAGTGTCCGGAGTCACGGGATCATTTTTTGTGACCTTCTGACAACCAAAGTCAACGGAGAAGGCCAGGTTCACTTAACAACCGTGTTGCTAACTTAACAACTGCAGGGATTGGTTTAACAACAACGGTGACAAGAAAAGTCATACAAGGAGCAAAACTCATTTGTCTTGCTCAGCAACATAAATGTTGGGTTCGATTGTCGTTGTAAGTTGAGGACTATCTGCAATAGGTGTTGTTGTTGTTTTTTTAATAGGTCGTGAATAGAACTCCTTCCATGGTTTAGTTTCCACTTACCCAGACTTCTTTCTGGTCATTCACCGCAATCAACGAATTTTTTAAGAAGAGGTACAAGGTGACAGTCGTCGTTTGGAGAGGCAGGCACGAGGTGACTCTAGCTATCAGGCGGAACCAATCGCCAGAGAGGGTGTCGCAAAGGGAGACCAACTGGTAGGCTCCAGGAGCAACCACATCTCCAGAAAGGCCATCGAAGGAAGAGAAATGTTGACCTGGTATCATTACGCAGCGGCCTTCAGTGGGGAAGCAACCCCGTACCCCGTCTCTCACTCCACAAGCTTCACCAGTTCCACAGCCGTAGAGAAGGCAGGACAGCTCGTCGGGGCCATTGCATGTACATTTCATCTTACAATCCGGAGAGATCCAGCTCTCCCCTTGCTGAGAAAGAGAAGGAGACATGCCATGAAAACAATACCCCCATAATCAGAAACTGAAGCTTCATCTTCTCTAGCTAGGAAAATACAGTAGTGGCCAAAAATTGTGGAAACCTTTTGGGAAAAGTGTATTTTCTGAAACTAGCTAATAACACCACTTTTTTTTTTTTTTTTTGGAGTAGTACCATAAAATTAATGTGTCAATGGAGAGATAATTTAATCAAGAATGTAATGCAATATTTTTTATGATTTATGATTTGCTATTAGAATAGCAGTTACAGTATAAGGAAGAAAAGTGAAACACATAGAAAAAATGAGGTATATAAAAATTATCATATCAGTTAATCCTTAGTTGGGTAACCTTTAGCATGAATTACGGCCTTACAACGTCTTTCCACAGAATGAACCAAGTCTTTGAGTTCTGCAGCTGTTACAATGTGAAACCAAAATTGAAGGATTGCTTCTATTAACTGGGTTTTATTGCTGGGTCACTTCTGACTAATAAGTTTCTTTAGTTAGCTGCTCCATAGATTTTCAATTGGGTGAAGGTCTGGGCTATTCCCAGGCCATTCCAGCAGTGGAATAGGATTATCTTGAAACGCCCCCCAAAAAAGTGGTGTTATTAGCCATCAAACCTCAAAAATACACTTTTCCCAAAAGGTTTCCACAATTCTGGCCACTACTGTATATGGAGTTTTCTATCACACGGGTTGCATTGTTTTTGTTTTTTTAAAAAAAAAAAGAAACAAGGATGAGTTTTGTTTTCCAAAATTCAAGAAACAACAACGCCAAAAGAATAATAAAATTATGAACAACAATAAACGGAGGGAGGGAAGTTCAAGATGTTCCCATATCACATGGTTGACATCAACAGGAAAACAATTGCAAACATCAAACACCATCTGCAATATCTAATTTAATAAAAGCGAGGGAAAGTTAGAGGCATTCGGGGGTGGGGGGTGTAGCGCTATTATTTCGTGCATTACTCAAAATTACGGGCTCAGCCAATTTGGAACAAGGCTGGAAGAAGAAGAAAGAAAAATGAAGATCTAACGGCGATGCAGAAAAACCCTCCGTGTTGGATATACAGATGGCTGCAAAAGCGCCAATGTTTGGGGGCTGAATATTCCTATCCAGGGAACAGGAATTTTTCATTAAATTTTAAGCAAAATATACATGTATGTGTGTGTGTGTATGTTTGTGTGTGTGTGTGTGCACGCCTCCATTCACACATTTGTAGCTTTTATTCTGCACACGAGGGGTAGAAACGTGTTTAGGATTGAAAGGAGCCCTTGAAATCAGAGCAAGAGACTGAATTCCATTTATGGAGTCCATAGACTTTGGCTGTTGTACAACATGATCACCGCCATTATTCATAAGAGTCGTTTGTGGCTCAGTTCTTTTATTGCTCTGCTATGAAACTGCTCCAAGGGCAATATAACCAGCAGAGTGTAGTATCATTTCCTAAAATAGCAAATTCAGGTGGTGAGTTACGAGAGGAATCGAGCCAAAACTGCGGTTGTTACATGCATGGAGAAATGCAGAGTTGAAAAAGCCTAGAGTGGAATAAACCCCTCGGCCCTTTCCCCCCAACCCCCATCAAAACAGATAAATAAATAAATCTGAATTAGCTCAAGCATGCTTAATAGGAGGGAAGAAGGTGGGTTTTCCCATCAATCGGTAAGCCAAGGTGGACAGAGGACTCGTTAAATACAGTTTCCTTCCTTAACACCAGCATGAAAATCTTTTAAATTGTTGTGTGTTTTAACTCAGGGAATGGCTTTAAAAAAGTCAAGTTGGGTCATATATATGTATGTATATATTAAGTGTTTACCGAGATACCTGGTCTACCCCAACATGTGGGTGGGGGCATTCTGCTCCCTTTTGCCTTTCAGTTCCAATCCAGGAACCCTCAAGCAGTCGCATTCACGACAAACCATTTTTATACCAAATTTGCGACTAGATTGGAGCTGAAAGGCAAAAGGGAGCAGAATGCCCCCTCCCACATGTTGGGGTAGACCAGGTGTCTCGGTAAACATTTAATCTTTACCCTGGCTCAAGCTGATGAAGGGAGGAGAACTTGTGGCTCAGAAGGTTAATTCAACTGCCTAACATGCGGGAAGCCCAAGTTTGAATCCAAGTAAGGGTATGGCTAGCTGATGAAAGCTAAAAAGCTTGAAATAGATCTATACTAGTCTCCCTTTATTTCTTTATCAGCAAAATATAAATTTGGTATGTATGTATGTATATATATATATATTTATATATAAAGTGTTTTTCTATCTAGGCACCTGGTCTACCCCAGCATGTGGGAGGGAGCATACTGCATCTCTTTCGCCTTTCAGCTCCAATCCAATGATATTATACCTTCCCGACACCCCTGCCCAGAACTGGGCAAAAGTGTTCAAATAAGGCCACCATGATGTGATCCAATGCATTTATATTTCCAATATGTAAGGGCTGCCCCAAAGAATAAGGGATCAAGCTATTCTCCAAAGCAGCTGAAAGCAGGAGAGAAGCAACCAGTTGGAAACTAATCAAGGAGAGAAGCAACTTAGAACTAAGGAGAAAATTCCTAACGTTGAGAATCATCAATCAGCGGAATGACTTACCTCTTGACGTTTTGGGTGCTCCATCACTGGAGGTTTTTAAGAAAAGATCGGACAACCATTTGTCTGAAATGGTATAGGATTTCCTGCTTAAAGCAGGGGGCTGGACTAGAAGACTTCCAAGATCCCTTCCAACTCTGTATTTTATTGCACATTAAAAAAAACAGGCAAAGCTTCCATCCCCCCCATCATGGTTGACATTTTAATTTTTTCCATCATAACCTTGGAATTCTCCATTTAAGGAAAATAGTTGATTTCTAGAAAAGAGGGTAGTCCAAATTAATTTTTAAAAAAAAAACCTTCTCACCTGGGTGAGTCTCCCTTCATACCAGCACCCACACTGTTGTGCAGTCACACAGGCCCCTCCGTTTGCCCATGTTCCCGTGTTGCACACGCAGCCTTCGACGCACGGATCCACACACACGAGATTTTTTGCACAGGTCCCCTGGCAGTTCCGAGCGCAAGGCTCATAATGGGTCCCAGGCAGGCAGTTCAGAGGAGCTGTGGAGCAGAGTTCAATTATATGAGTAAGCTACTAATTTCACTTACATGAGGAAGCTACTAGAAGAGATTTGAAGGCTTTTTTTTTTCCTATGGAGAGTACATGGGTCAGATCAGAAACGAAAAATGAGGAGGAATGAGTTTTTCCAGCTAACTTCTCCTAATTTGTTGTGACATGAAATCATCATCATCATCATCATCATCATCATCCAACTGTATAGACTTCTCGGTTCTCTGCCCGGTTACTGGATGGGTGTGACCTAGTCGGCCTCCTGCACTACTGCAGGGGGGGCTGTTTTTGCCCTCCCCGGGCTCCAGAGGCTTTCCTTGAGGTTCCGGGAGAGCGGAAATGGCCTCCCTAGGCTCCGGAGACCCTCTGTTTCCCGAAAATTCTGGGAACCCCATTTTTCGCCCTCCACGAGCCTCTGCACATGTGCTGCACTTACCTGCATCCAAAACAGGCCGCGTGGGGACTCCTGGGAGGGGAGGGGAGGGGTGGGCGAGGCCAGCCAGGAGTGGAATTTGGGAGTTCTCCGAACTGCACAGAATCTTAGCTAGAGGTTCTCCCGAACCCCTGCGAATCCCCAGCAGCCCACCCCTGCTTACATGCTACCTACTACCTACCGAATTCACCAGCCCTACTAAAAAGTGTCCCCTTGGCAGGTAACACCAATCTGAACATGATCCAGAAAAGGAAGCATCCTTCGTTATGCCTATGTAGTCCTAAAACAGCAACTTTGGACGGCGACATACATTTTCCACGAATTTTAAAGAGCAGGTATACATGTACCTCTGTGTCCAAGCTCAGGGCAAGGTTTTCTCTTTATGCTTGGATGAATAGAATCGTTACCTCCCCCAAGGAAATTAGCCTGAGAAAAGGGCTCTCTTGGCATGAAGGGAAGCTGCCCTTTGGAAGCTATTAGCAAAACGCTTCTGGAGAGCCGTTTCCAGCATTGCTTAGCTCTGTTTTTGTTTTTTTTTAACACTTTCCCCATAATCTTACAGCTAGTTATAGAGAGCCAATTTGATGCAGTAGTTAATACATAAGACTAGAAACCAGGAGACCGGGAGTTTCAGTCCTGCCTTAGGCACAAAGCCAGCTGGGTGACCTTGGGCCAGTCACTCTTTCTCAGCTCGGAGAAGCAGGCAATGGCAAACCACTTCTGAAAAAAAAAAAGCTACCCCAAAAAAAAACGGTAGTAAAACTGGCGGGAGGCTCCGCTCACTGACGCGGACGTCATCAAAGTAGGTCTCATCAGTTCACCTCCAGACCTGGGGGCTGTTGACTCTCCATCTGAGGGATGCCTCTGTCTCTGTCTCTGTCTCTGTGCCAGCTCCATTCCCTCTTCCCCCTGGGAGCTCTCAGGTTGCCTTGATGCTAACCCTGACTCCCACACCTCCTCCTCCTCCTCCTCTGATTCGGCTGCTGGAGGGGCCGGCAGCTGATGGGCCACAACAGATTAATGCCAAATAAAATCATAAATAAATCAATGGGCGGGGTTCATACAACATGCTAAGCCTTTTTTAAAAAAAAAAATCTTACTAAATTGGAAATGTACCGGATTATCATGCTGGGCAAAATTGCCTCTTGGGTCTTTAGCAGATCGGATTAAACATTAGGGGTAAGCACCCTGTGAAAAACTCTCCATCTTGACTTACCGCAACGGGTAAATGGTCTCCACACATCAATGGTGGCACCAGCCAGCTGACAAGCCGTTGCATAGGCCTGAAGATTTTGGCAGAGGGATTCTATCGCTCCATAACTGGCACACAGCCTGGCCACGCAGAACTTGAAGAAGTGATCTGGGTTAACGATGGCATGACATTTACTGAATGGACCTGGAACAGTTTGGATCAACCCACAGTATTCTTTGCCTTGGAATGTTGCTTCCATATTTCCATCACAAACAGAGCATTTATCCCTGCAGGTTTCCAAGCATTTGCCACCTTCAATTTTCCAAAAGTTTGCAAATTCGATTAAATCTTGGGCTGGCCTCCCATCAGGCAAGAAGAATTCATCATTCTTGTCCTTGTTGAAGTTGCCACAAAGCCCCCTCAAGATGCCCTGGTAGATACCAGCTACAGATACTGCCACCCAATCACCGTGGTCATAATAAATCCGCAGGCCCAAATTGTTACGAATGAGTACAATTTTTCCCTCTTGTCTCGCCGAGACGTCTCCAAAGTTAGCTGGCAAGCGAAGACGCTCTCCGTTGACCTATGCAACGAGATGCAAGAAACAAGACTGAATCCGATGTATCTATTTGCGATTTTGTCTCTTAATGAATATCAGAGGAATGAATGAACTGCAGGTTTTTTTTTTTCTTTTTACAACCCCGTAGTTCCTATTTGGGGTAGAATCATGATGACTGGATGGAGCTAAGAGTTTACTGGTCGGATGCCCTTCCTGACGCCTATGTGAAGTTCGCAGCTGATATTTTTTCTTTGTGCCCAAGGAGGGAAACATCCGCCTCTCCCCAGGATTGTGTGTATCTGTCTGTCTGTCTGTCTGTCTGTCTCTCTCTCTCTCTCTCTCTCTCTCTCCCTTCCCTCTTTCTCTCTCTGGAGGCTGTGGAGGCCAAAAACTGGCCCGTTTTTGGCCTCCTGAGGCCTCCACACATCCTATTTTTGGCCTCTCTGGCCTCCAGAAAGCGGGTGGGGGCTGGTGGGTAGGTAGGGTGATGTGGGAGGGGCAGCCTGGTGGTCCCACACGGGCCGGATTAATGGCTTCGGCAGGCCGTATCCGGCCTGTGGGCCATAGTTTGAGGACCCCTGCTGTAAGATATGGAAGATTTGTTTCATTCAATAAAAGCCTTCTGGGAAAATCAGTTAGCCTCATTTCCCCTCATGGTAACTTAGGAACATTGATCCAAGCCGATTTTGGGTTTTGCTGATTATTTAGGCTTGTTGTTACAGACATGGCTAGTATATATTTACTATGTAAAAGTAAAACATTGTAGGTTATTACATTATTATACTGTGGCAAAAAAAAAAAAAAGTCAAAAGTCAATGCTTTTGTCTTTCTTTCCTCTTTCCCCTGCACTTCCCCCCCCCCTTTCCCTTTTCCTCCCCTATTTTCCCATGCTTTTCATTTTTCTTTTCTGCATTTTATAATTTGATCAACTAATTTAAAACAAAATGGAACCTCAAAGGGAGACCGATGGATACTCTTTCCTGTACCTGAGGACCCAGATTGTCGGGGGCAAGAGGCTGACGCTGCAAACCACTTAGAGAGGGCTGTAAAAGCACTGAGAAGCGGCATACAAGTCTAAGTGCTAAGTTCTATTTCTCCCCTCCTTTCCTTGATCCTGGTGGCACAGTGGTTAGAACGCAGTATTGCAGGCTAAACTCTGCCCACAGCTTGGAGTTCGATCCTGACTGGCTCAAGGTTGACTCCACCTTCCATCCTTCCGAAGTGGATAAAATGAGGACCCAGAATGTTGGGGGCAATAGGCTGAAACTGTAAACCACTTAGAGAAGGGTTTTAAAAGCACTGCGAAGCGGTATATAAGTCTAAGTGCAAAGTGCTATTTCTCCCCTCCTTTCCTTGATCCTGGCGGCTCATTGGTTAGAATGCAGTATTGCAGGCTAAACTCTGCCCACAGCTTGGAGTTCAATCCTGACCGGCTCAAGGTTGACTCAGCCTTCCATCCTTCTGAGGTTGGTAAAATGAGGACCCAGAATGTCGGGGGCAATAGGATGACACTGTAAACCACTTACATAGGGCTGTGAAGCGGAATATACAAGTCTAAGTGCTAGCGCTATTGGGCACAGGAAAGACTCACCAAAATTTCCCAGTCCTTGTCTCTTTGAAGAATGACCTGGTAGTCAGAAACCTGAATCTTGACTTCCTCGATGCCAGTGTGTCCAGCTGAGAGGATAACAGAGAACTTGTGCTTCTCGTTACTTTGGACAAGGACGTATGAGCAAAGAGCCGGCAGTGAATATTGCACGCCATCAAAGGTGACATAATTCCAACCGTCCAGTGCATAGCAGGTGCCCGGTTCCCTGGGGAAACAAACTGAGACGTCACTGACCACTTTGCAGGCGTCCTCATCAGAGCAGAAGTCGTGACACTGAATCGTTCCATCTTCCATGCATCGGCAGCGTTTCCGGCAGAAAATATTGGAGAAGAATTCCTCGCCTTTCTTGTAGTATTTGCCCTCGAATTCACAGACGCATTCCTGGAGCGGTACGCACAGGTTCCCGTTCAAGATGAATCCCGGGTTACAGATGCAACCTTCACCGCAAGGCGCCTTGCACATAAGGGGGAGCTGGGGGTTTTCACAGGTAGCAGCACAACGGGTCCCACAGAGTTCATAATGAGAGTTCACTGGGCAGGGTTGAGCTGGTTAAGGAAAAATAAGGAGATGATCAAGCCAAGTTCCGGAAAGGTTGAGCTACCATGCTGTCCACAGCAAAACAACAACCTACTGAATAGAATAGAATAGAATAGAATAGAATAGAATAGAATAGAATAGAATAACAGAGTTGGAAGGGACCTTGGAGGTCTTCTAGTCCAACCCCCTGCCCAGGCAGGAAACCCTACGGCACTTCAGACAAATGGTTATCCAACATCTTCTTAAAAACTTCCAGTGTTGGAGCATTCACAACCTCTGGAGACAAGTTGTTCCACTGATTAATTGTTCCGACTGTCAGGAAATTTCTCCTTAATTCTAGGTTGCTTCTCTCCTTGATTAGTTTCCACCCATTGCTTCTTGTCCTGCCCTCAGGTGCTTTGGACAATAGCCTGACTCCCTCTTCTTTGTGGCAGCCCCTGCTATCATGTCTCCCCTACTGTACGGGTAGTCCTCGACTTATGACCACAACTGAGCCCAAAATTCCTGCCGCTAAGCAAAACATTTGTGAAGGGACTTTTGCTCCATTTTACGATCTTTCTTGCCACAGCTTTTTAAGCGCTTGTTAAATTGGTACCACGGTTGTTAAGTGAATCTGGCTTCCCCCTTGACTCTGCTTGTGAGCAGATCGCAAAAGCAGATCACACAACCCTGGGACTGTGCCACCATCATAAATACAAATTGGTTGCAAAGCATCTAAATTTTGATCACGTGACCATGGGGATGCTGCAACAGTCATAAGTGTGGAAAACGCTCATGTTTTTTTCAGTGCCGTTGTAACATTGAACGGACACTAAATAAACTGTTATAGTGTAAGTCAAGGATTACCTGTAATCATGGTTTAGTTCCTTCTGATGTTATTCTAGCTTGGGTTCGGTTTCAAAAGAGGCCACCTGTATTAGGTGAACTTAGGTTCTTCCAAGCGATGCCAACAGCAAAATTATAAATGGATTATGTTCAGCAGATACAGAGAAATGAGGCTGAAAGAAATATTCTTCACTTTGTGACAGGGAATTAAATGTGAAGTCTGGAAGCTACAGCCATAGGCAGGTCCTGGATCAACATTTAATCCAGCATAGATGAGGTGGTTAGATTAGAAAGAGAGAAGACTCTTCCATCAAGCACTATGGGAGGGATTAATGTTGGCAGAAGATTAATTAATCATATTCATTGCCGCTATGAGATAGTTTTGCATTATAAGTCTCATAAATATGTTGAAAGAACAGGAAGATCACCTGCGGCTTTAGCTACTCAGCTTGCGGTTCACTGATGAACAGAAATATCATAAAAATAATCTTTGGCATAACTGTAGTTATCATAACTGCTAGGCCGCGTGATCAGGATATATAGCAGCTACAAACCAATTCGGCTGAAATGTACCAGCTGCATTAACTATTGGAGTTTCTCAAGGCACTCTAGCTCTATAGCGGTAACTGTGAGCGGGATCTTGGAGTCCTAGTGGACAATCACTTAAATATGATTGTACAGCAGTTGTGCGGAGGGATAGATCACACAAAGCGTTAATATCACTTTATAAGGACTATGCTTGGAATATTGCATCCACTTTCGGTCACCGTGATATTAAAAAAAGATGTGGAGATTCTAGAAAGAGTGCCGAGAAGAGCAACAAAGATGATTAGGGGACTGGAGGCTAAAACATATAAAGAACGGTTGCTGGAACTGGGTATGTCTAGTTTGATGAAAAGAAGGACTAGGGGTGACATGATAGCAGTGTTCCAGTATCGCAGGGGCTGCCACGAAGAAGAGGGAGTCATGTCAGCGGTGAAATCCACTTACCTTCGCTACCAGTTCGGGAACGGGAGCACATGGGAGCGCTATGCACGCGGATGCCTCTTCTGCGCATGTGCAGAACCTTCTGCGCATGTGCAGATGGTAAAAAAATGGGACATAATGATGTCCTGACAGATGGGCGGAGCCTCCCGCCGCTGGCACTACCAGTTCGGCAAGCCGGATAGAACCAGGGGAGATTTCACTGCTGAGTCAAGCTATTCCCCAAAGCATTTGAAGGCAGGACAGGAAGCAAGGGATGGAAATCAAAAAGAGAAGCAACCTAGAACTAAGGAGAAATTTCCTGACAGTTAGTACCATTAGTCAGTGGAACAACTTGCCTCCAGAAGTTGTGATGTTCTAACGCTGGAAGTTTTTAAGAAGAGATTGGACCGCCATTTGTCTGAAATGGTATAAGGTCTCCTGCTTAAGCAGGGGGCTGGACTAGAAGACCTCCAAGGTCCCTTCCAATTCTGTTGTTCTGTTATTCAACTGCTCTCTTTGGCTCACACACACACACTCTTTAGCCCAACCCTCCAACGCTTCAAGTCCAAACTTACGGCAGAAGATATCCGTCCTCCAATTCTGTAAAGGGATACTTCTGGCTTGACAGGCTGCTACGTAAGCGGCAATAACGTCACACCAAACGTTCTTCTGTCCCCGAACTTCACAGGTCTTTTTGATACACTCATCAAAGAAAGGTGCAACTGGAATGACCCCATGGCAGGAAGCGAAGGGCCCATCCAGTCGGCTCAACAACCCACAGAACGAATCTTGTTGATAGCTTTCTAATTCAGCGGCAGAGCAGGGAGGACATTTTGGGGAACAGCCTGGAGAGCAGCCTACAAACCAGTTTTCCCCGTATTCTTGCATCGTCTCATCGGCAAGGTTTCCATTGGCGTTTCCGCACAGCCCGCACAGATGTCCTGCAAAGTTTGAGGGCACGGTTGTTTGAATGTCGAGGTTTTCTTTGACGAGTTTGACCACCAGGCCAAAATGTGTCTCAAGGACAAAATGGTGCCCGTCAAAATTAACCTTAATTTTCTCCTCGAAGTTGAAAGGCAGACTTACTGGGTTGCCATCCACCTGAATAAAAGAACAGAATCTGATTTTGTTTCTCTTCTAATTAAACTAAACACCCCCCCCCCCAAATTCCCATCTCTTTTAAGTGCTGGGGGAAAAAAAAATAAATGTTTGGAAATACAATCTAAACAAAGGTAGGTATTTTGGGACGCAGGAGAAACAGGTATTTGAATGTTGACCTTTACGATTTTCTGCTTTTCCCCGTAATGAATTTACTTTAACTAGATTAATCAACGCGGTTCAGTCTAACAAATTCAAAGTAAAATACACAGGTTGAAAAAGTCAATCATTCTTGCTGCAGAACCGGAACACTTTTAAACTTAAGATTGCATATATTTCTAAACAACCCTTAAACACCCTCTGCCATTAAATATGGGTAGATGCGTAATTGCCTGAAGATCACATGTGCATCTTCAGATTAAGTGTTGCAGTCCCCAGAGGATCATATTGCTGAAATTCAATTCTGTAAAATAGTAATTTTCAGCAACATTATATGTGACCCATTTTTAAAGAATGGAAAACCCCAAATAAGCATGTTAATATTCTGGGCCGATCAATACACCGCTTTTCTGTTATTAAAAAAAAACCTAACTACACTCAAACCACAATAAAAAAATATCAGCCTGTGCCTCTTTGGTGAACTAAACGTATCATAACCATTCTATCCAAAGCCAAAAAAATTCTAATAATGGTAATCCTATTATTATAGCAGTACTACTACTGCAAAATTTGTAAATCCTACAAGGGCAGTAAATGTTCTGTTTAATTACTATTTAAATTTTCACCCTGCCGTTGTTCGGTATTGACAATCAACCTGATTACTGAATTAACCACTTCTCCTAAATCTACACCAGGAGTGTCAAACTTAATGCTCACGGGTCAGATCCGGCATGCTTAGATCTGGCCCATGGGTCTACCCTGGAAACAGCTCACAAGCTCCGTTTTTGGCTGCGACGACCTCCTGCAACTCCCCTGCCAGCGAAAATGGAGCTTGGGAGGGCTGCGTATATCCCTCCCGAGCTCCATTTGTGGCTGCAACAACCTCCTAGAACCCTCTGCCAGTGAAAATGGAGCTCAGGAGGGTCTCCCGAGCCCCATTTTCACTGGCAGAGCACTTGGGCCGCCACAGGCACCCCCAACATGAGTAACATTGAGCTGCCCCCCCCCCCAATGTCAAACACAACTCTGATGCGACCCTCAATGAAATCAACTTTGACACCCCTGATCTACACCATATGTTGATCTGGAAATTAATCCAATGGTCTGGTTTCACAGAAAACCAGAAAGGAACCATTAAATCGGAAAACAGGACAAGAAACACTATCCAAGGTTAAAACCAACCTAGTTTAGCACGTCATGCAAATGCAGCAGTTTGATCTTAAACTGACCTGGTTCAGCCTATTGAGTAAAGAGATCTTACCTGCACCTGGTCGGTACGGACAGTAATGGTCTTTCCGTACACTTTTAATATAACCGCACGGCCTTCAGGAGCTAGGTTGTTTTGAGCCGAGAGGTCAAACGGTATGAGATCAGGCCTGGGAAGGCAGACTTTAGACAGTTGGTAGATGCAACGGCCCTCAAACCTATAGCTGTGCCCATCAAAGGTGATGTATTCATAGTTTCCTGCAGAGATGCAGGTGGAGGTGCTAGGGTAGCACCCCCGGATTCCGTTGACCAGTTTGCACTGCTCTCCAGTTTTGCAGGAAGCTAGGGTGCACACCACAGCCCCAAACCTGGAATCACATTTGCAGCGCAAAGTGCAGTCCTTGTTCAAGAATTCTTCATCGGGGTTGTAGTAGACGCCATTGTGCAAGCAACCGCAGCTTTCAATGGGCACACATTTGTCGGTGCTAAGGACGTAGCCGTCATTACACTGGCAGGTTTCCACACATTCCAGTGTGCAAGGCACGGGCGTGTTGCGGGAGGCACATGTCGCTGGACATCTACTTCCACATTGCACAAAGTGGCTATTTTCAGGACAAGGGAGCGCTGTGAAAGGAAGTAACTATTAAGTAGCAATAGCAATCGCACTTAGACTTATATACCGCTTCACAGTGCTTTTACAGCCCCCTCTAAGCGGTTTAGAGAGTCAGACTATCAGCCAAAACAATCTGGGTCCTCGTTTTACCCACCTCGGAAGGATGGAAAGCTGAGTCAACCTTGAGCCTGGTGAGATTCGAACTGCCAAATTGCAGGCAGCCGGCAGTCAGCAGAAGTAGCCTGCAGTTCTGCATTCTAACCACTGAGCCACCGTGGCTCATAGTAACTATGATTTTCCCATTCTCTAAACTCCATGTACCATCTTTTCTATACATTTTCCATACTTGGGCCAGATATTTTCATGAGCCTCTATGCTCTTCTACACTGATCCATACCCAACAGTGCCCCTAAAATCTAGGCTTTCCAATTTTCCTGCAGAAAGCAAAGTGACCAACGATTGCTCTCATCAGCCCTGTTAAGAGCTCCTATTTAACAAAGTACAGGTAGTTCTTGACTTACAACAGTTCGTTTAGTGACCGTTCAAAGTTACAACGTCACTGAAAAACATGACTTATGACTGTTTTTCACTTGACCATTGCAGCATCCCCTTGGTCACATGATCAAAATTCGGACACTTTGCAACTGACTCATATTTATGAAGATTGTAGTGTCCAAAGGTCATGTGATCACCTTTTGCGGCCTTCTGACAAGCAAAATCGAGGTGGAAGCCAGATTCACTTAACAATTGCAGTCATTCACTTAACAACCGTGGCAAGAAAGTGGGACAAAACTCACTTAACAAATGTCTCACTTAATAACAGAAATTTCTGGCTCAATTGTGGTAGTAAGTCAAGGACTACCTATGTTTCTTCCACAACAGGGGTGGGTTCTAAAAATTTTTACTACCAGTTCTGTGGGCGTGGCTTATTTTGTGGGCATGGTTTGATGGTCATGTGACAATTCTTTAAGATTTAGCAGAGGTACTGGTCTACCAGGCTTTTAACTGCTTGTAGAGATGTACCGGTCCACCCATTTGTTCTTGGAGCATCCTGGTGTACCTATTTGTTTTTCGAGCATCCCGGTCTACCCATTTGTTTTTGAAGCGTCCTGGTCTACCCATTTGTTTTTTGAGTGCACTGGTCTACGACCACACTGCCTTTTAACACTGATCAGCTGTAGGGCAGCCTTTTGAAACCCCGTGGCAAGAGTTTAAACAGTTTTTTTTCCTTCCAGCTGATCAGCTGGGACTCGGGAGGCAGCGAAAAATTGGGGGCGGGGCCAAATAAAAGGTAAGAATAACGTGGGGGGGGCGGGAGGGCCCAGATCCTGAACAAAGAGAACCGGTTCGGTGACATCATATCATCACCGCTACCGGATCGGCCGAACCGGGCTGAACCGGGAGGAACCCACCACTGTTCCACAAGTACAACAAAATTTGCTTAAATATGTTGTCTATCATTTGTCTGAAATGGTATAGGGTCTCCTGCTTGAGTGGGGGAGGGGGTTGGACTAGAGGACCTCCAAGGTCCCTTCCAACTCTGTTATTCATTGAACTCAATTAGATTTTTTTTAAAAAATTACTTTTGTTTTTGCTCCTCACTTATATCACGTTGGTCTTGTACTCGCCTTAACTGTTGTTAGTATGGATATTGGACATCAAGCTACAACACTGTTTGGGAGACCGAATGTTCAACACTTACGGCAATTGATGGGGGTTCTCCAGTCACCAACTTGGCGTCCTTTCTGATGGCAAGCTTGAGCGTAGGAGTTCACAGCTTGGCACAGAATGCCATGGTCTCCTCCGTTCATACAAACATCCAAAGCACAGTTGTTTAGGATAATGTTAGGATCTACAACCGCATGGCAATCCTGGAAGGGTCCATTTGAGACAGAGACTATCCCACAATGTTTATCTGTTTTGTATGTTGCCAGCTGTTGTGGATCACATGTAGGACATTTTCCACTGCACTCGTGGAAACAAAGGGGATCTCCATCTTCCACTTTCCAGGAAGTAGCCCAGATGATCACATTGGGCAACAGGAAACCCTCTGGGCTTCTCAACTCATCCCCTGGCAGCTGATTGAAGTTACCGCAAAGTCCCCCGGTGTTTCCATAATAGCTACTAGACAGGCGGGCGTCTACTTGCCAATTCCAGTCATAGGTAATCAGTAGACCAAAGTTGAGCTGCACGTTGGCAAAGTTGCCACTTGAGAAGATCCGGATTTGACCTCCCATAAGAGTTATGGGCAGGTTGAAGGTCGCACCATTAACCTGTGTCAGAGGGGTTAGAAAAGAAATTCTGAAAATCTGTGCTTTTAATAAGCAAGAGAGAGATCAGTTTGAGTTGGATGTTGGATTTCCCATTAGCCAAGATGTCAGCATGTCAAGATGCATTTATCCTAGTGCTGACATAAGAAGGAGAATGCAGGTGTCTGCAATGGGACGGTTGCCTTTCACCTACTTATTTCCTCTGGAGATAATGTCCCCTAGGAGATGGATGGGAGGGGGGAAATTCTTTGAATTGGAGCAGTAGATTAGGGGTGAATGATTGGGAAGATGGCCAATGAATGCAGAGGAGTGGGGGAAGGAAGAGGAGGGGTTTGGGGGCAGCACGTCAGTGCCGGCTGCAACGAGTCGGTGTAAAAGGTGCTGTGCTTAATAAAATGGAAATTTGTTTTATAAAAGACTTCGTTTGCGATGCAATTTATTTGAAGACAGCCTGAAAACCTGACACAAATAAGGAAAGGCAGACTGCAAGAAAGACACGACACTCAATTACTCAGCGAAAAGCATTCTAGTCCTTGACTTACGGACACAATTGAGCCCAACATTTCCATTGCTAAAGGACACAGCTGTTAAGTGAATTTTACTCCACTTTATGACCTTTCTTGCCACAGTTGTTCAGTGAATCACTGCAATTGTTCATTTAATAACTCGGTTGTTAAGTGAATCTGGCTTCCCCCCGTTGACTTTGCTTGTCGGACGGTTTCAAAATGTGATCTCATGACTCCGGGACATTGCAACCGTCATAAATATGAGACAGTTGCCAAGCATCTGGATTTTGATCCGGGGGATGCTGCAAGTCATTTTTTTCCAGTGCCGTTGTAATTTTAAACGGTCACTAAATGAACTGTTGTAAGTCAAGGACTTCCTGTACTCAGTGGTGGGATTCAAATAATTTAACACCCGGTTCTCTGCCCTAATGATTTCTTCCAACAACCAGTTCACCAAACTGCTCAGAAAGTTAACAACCGGTTCTCCCGAAGTGGTGCGAACTGGCTGAATCCCACCACTGCCTGTACTTAAAAAAGACAATGAAGATGTTGGAAACATTTTCCTCCTAGCAATTTGATTGGCAACTGCCCAGAGGTGGCTAAAAGATGGATAGCTATGTAAACGTTTTAAAGAAATAGGATAGGGATGGAAGTACAAAGTGAATGTCCAAAATACTGTAGCTAATGATAAAATTGCCCTTACCCGGACTCTGCCATTTTCTTGTTTATGGATGCTGATTTCTTGTTCATACACATGTATGGTAACAAGTTTCACATAGGAGACAGCCTGGTTACCGCCTCGGTTTTCATTCTTTATCACCACTGAGAAGGGTACAAGACTTTGATCGATGCCTGTCGACTGAACGAGCACATAGGAACAAGTGCCTTGGAAGTCATAGCTGTAGCCATCAAAGGTATGACAATGTGGGTCCCCCCAGCACCAACAGTGTCCTGTGTAGTCTGGGACACAAACAGCCTGTCCATCCTTGACCTGACACGTCTCCTTGGGACGGCAAAGCTTAACTTTGCAAGGATCTGGGGGGGGGAAATAAAAGGCAGAACATAGAATCAGAGAAGGGACCTCAGGGGTCTTCTACTCTAACCTCCTGCTCAAGATAGGAGATCATATTCCATCCTAGTCAGCGCCCAGCCTCAAAAATGTGTCTAAATAGGAGGGCATAGAGCGGGGCAGGTGGATGGGCCCATCCGTGATTTCCATCACCGGTTAGCCCAAACTGGTCTGAACCAGTGGTGGGATTCAAGTAATTTAACAACCGGTTCTCTGCCCTTATGATTTCTTCCAACAACCAGTTTGCCAAACTGCTCAGAAAGTTAACAACCGGTTCTCCTGAAGTGGTGTGAACTGGCTGAATCCCATCACTGATCTGAACCGGCTGAATACCACCTCTGATCCCAGTCAAATGATGGTTCAGTCTATGTTTGAAAACTTCTAGTGATTGAGCACCTACAACTCAGTAGCCAAACTATTCCACCGATTAATTTGTTCTCGCGGTCAGAAAATTTCTCCTTACTTCTAGAGTTGGAGCTTTCTTTAATATGCTTCCCCATTTTATTTCTATTATAATTTTTATTTTTTTAAAACTTTTAAATTACTAACATTACAAACAACATATACAATATTTCACCCTGTGCTATACATAAGAAAGGAAGATTTGGTTCTTCGGATATATCCTCATGATCGCCAAAATCCACGTTCTCGGGGTACAGGTACCGAAGCATCCAATTTTCCCAGCGCATAGCCCACGAATGGTTTCCAAATTTTCCAGAAAATATCTTCTTTATAGTCACCATTTCTAATTTTAATATCGCATGTCATTTTATCGTTTAAAGCTAATTTCCCCATTTTATTTCTGGTGCCTTGGAGAATATGTCAATTTCCTGTTCTCCGTGATAGCCCTTCAAGTACGGGAAAAGAGTTACAGTAGTGGCCAAAATTATGGAAACCTTTTGGGAAAAGTGTATTTTCTAAAACAAATAACTAATAACACCATTTTTCGGGGGGAGGGATGGTACCATAAAATTATATATCAATGGAAAGATAATTTAACCAAGAATGTAATGCAATAACTCTTATGATTTAGGATTTGCTATTAGAATAGCAGTTACAGTATAAAGAAGAAAAGTGAAACACGTAGAAAAAACGAGATATACAACAATTACCACCATGTCAGTTAATCCTTGGTTGGGTAACCTTTAGCATGAATTACAGCCTTACAACGTCTTTCCACAGAGTGAACCAAGTCTTTGAGTTCTGCAGCTGTTCTAATGTGAAACCAAGATTGAAGGATTGCTTCTATTAACTGGGTTTTATTGCTGGGTCACTTCTGACTAACAAGTTTCTTTAGTCGGCTGCTCCATAGATTTTCAATTGGGTGAAGGTCTGGGCTATTCCCAGGCCATTCCAGCAGTGGAATAGGATTACCTTGAAACTACCAAAAAAAGGGGGTGTTATTAGCCATCAAACCTCAAAAATACACATTTCCCAAAAGGTTTCCACAATTTTGGCCATGACTGTATCACCCTGCCCCCAAACCTTCTCTTTGCTAGGCTGCAGAAAGTAGAAATTAAGTCTAGAGGAGGATCAGTATAAGAGCCACGGTGGCTCAGTGGTTAGAATGCAATATTGCAGGCTAACCCTGTTCACATTGCCAGCAGTTCGATTCCCTCAATCCTGACTGGCTCAAGGTTGACTCAGCCTTCTATCCTTCCAAGATCGGTAAAATGAGGACCCAGATTGTTGCACTGTGAAGCAGTATGCAAGTCTACAGTAAGTGCTATTGCTATTGCTATCAGTATGTCTCAAAATGTACACCTCTGCAGCAGGGGTGAAATCTACTTACCGTCCTTACCGGTTCAGAAGCCCACGTGTGCGCTCGTTTCGCTCCCGCCCCCGTGTGCGTCACAGGCACGTGCAGACCTTCTGCACATGCGCAAAACTTCTGCGCATGCACAGAAGGTAAAAAACACATTACCTGGCTGGGTGGGCGGAGCTATGCTCCACCGTCACTACCGGATCACCGAACCACCGGCCAAGATTGCTACCGGATCGGGCGATCCGGTCCGATCCGGGAGCATTTCATCCCTGCTCTGCAGTCGACTGTCAGAACATGCTTAATCTGGTTTCACAAGTAACCCATTTTCATGCTTATATTGAAGCATAAACTAGCTTGGGTTCAAATAACCAAGGCTTGCACGCACCCCACGTGAAACCACACACGAAAAACTACCACACATTAAAAGCAGGGGTGAAATGCTACTGGTTCGCACTGGTTCAGGTGAACCGGTAGCGGCAGCGGGTCGTTCGGTGAACTGGTAGTGGCGGCAGCGCGAGGTTCCATCCACCCGCCCAGACATCTTTACTTCCTGGTTTTAACCAGGAAATAACCTGTTTTTGACCCTCTGTGCATGCACAGAAGGTTTTGCACATGCGCAGAGGGTCTAAAATTGCACATGACCCCCGCGCGCACAGCACACACACTTCCAAACCGGTAGAGAAGGTAAATAGATTTCACCCCTGATTAAAACTAACATGTTGAGCAAATATAGCCATTACGTTAGTTGGTGACTTGATTAAGCATGTTGAACAAACATATACTAAGTAGAAGTTGTATTAGACCTATGTATAAAATCTTCACAGCTATATAAATGCTCAGAAAGGCATTCTGAGAAATAGAAAGAATTAAAGTCCCTCCCATAGAAGATACTGAAATTGAAATGCGTGCATTTCACGCAACACTGCATTCAGCTTTAGTCTATATACCCACAGGATCGTTCTCCAGCATGGCTGAACTACTGGTTCCTCCCAAGACATCCTGAGGGATGTAAAATCAGATCTTTCTTTCTCCATCCATCAAGTGCGCCCCCGTGAGGTGGTATCACCCATTTTACCTATGTTCTGGCACTGCATAATCCCATTTTTCACCACGCAGGCTTCATTGGCTGCACAAGCGTGTTCTTCACAGAAGAATCCTCCGGCTGGACTGCAGACACATTTCTCCTTGCAACTGTTTTGCAAGATTGGCACATTAGGCTGAGCGTTAAGAAAAAAAAACAACCACAGGTAAGAGAAAAGGATCCAGGCTCACATTTTTTTTAACAACCGCATTGGGGGAAAGTTATCTTACAGCAAGGCAAATCTTACTCAGGAGCCAAGTTCGTGTACTTCTGCAATGCTTCCACCAGCTTTGTGGCAGAAACAAAACTTATTTAGAAACTGCTCCACAGCTATATGGAAGGTTCCTAGAGTAGAAGATCCTCATTGGTTCCTGGAAATGCTGTTTGCCTTGAAGCTGTCATTCCTTACTGGGTTGAGGGAGAGGAATGGCATCCCAGATCATCTGAGATACGTATTAAGAATCCATAGAATCCATGAGCCACGGTGGCACAGTGGTTAGAATGCAGTACTGCAGGCTACTTCTGTTGACTGCCGGCAGTTTGAATCTCACCAGGCTGAAGGTTGACTCAGCCTTCCATCCTTCCGCGGTGGGTAAAATGAAGACCCAAATTGTTGGGGGCAATATGCCGACTCTGTAAAAGCGCTTAGAGACAGGCTGTAAAGCACAGTGAAGTGATATAAGTGCTAAATGCTATTGCCATTGCTATAGAGTGATGGGATTAGAACATAGGTAAAGGTAAAGGTTCCCCTTGTACATATGTGCTAGTCGTTCCCGACTCTAGGGGGGGGTGCTCAATCTCTGTTTCAAAGCCAAAGAGCCAGCGCTATCCGAAGACATCTCCGTGGTCAGGTGACCAGCATGACTAAATGCCAAAGGTGCACAGAACACTGTTACCTTCCCACCAAAGGTGGTCCCTATTTTTCTACTTGCATTTTTTACGCGCTTTTGAACTGCTAGGTTGGCAGAAGCTGGGACAAGTAACAGGAGCTCACCCTGTTACGCGGCACTAGGGATTTGAACCGCCGAACTGCTTACCTTTCGATCAACAAGTTCAGTGTCTTAGCCACTGAGCCACCGTGTCCCTAATTAGAACATAGAAATAGAATGACAGCATTGGAAGGGATCTTGGAGGTCTTCTAGTCCAACCCTCTGGAGACCTGGAGGCAGGAGACCTTATTCCATTTCAGACAAGTGGCTGTCCAGTCTCTTCTTAAAAGCCTTTAGATTGGATTGGATCAATGCGATTAGAGCTGCTTGTCTCATGGGTTTTTATGGAATGTTATCATACTGAGAGTTTTTTCCTTCCACTGCATTCATTTACAATGGAGCCATTCATAAAAGGACAACAATCCCCTGAAGACACCTTGAATGGTTTGCTTTTGCTGTGAAGTTCTTTTGTACCGTCTAAAACAACTTACCAGCTCCTGGCTTAATTCATCCCTATGACCATCACACAGCAAGTGACAACATCAAGAGATTAATAAAACACTCTGCAGGGAACAGGGACGGACTAATTAAGGAGTACAGTAATTCTCCTGTAAGATTGAGCTGCACTTAACAAGAAGCTGCAATAAGTAGTTACCAAATGAAATTAGCTTCTGATTACAACCACAGTAACTGTCTACCCAAAATAGGCTATCGCTGCATCAAATTGGGGAAGGGCTGGGTGGGAGGGAAACCTCCAAAAAATGGACTGAAAAAAGCTGTTGTGGCCTGTTGGCTGCTGGCCCCTCCAGCAGCCAAATCAGATGAGGAGGCGGCATGGAAGTCAGGGCCAGTATCAAGACAATGTGAAAGTTCCAAAGGGGAAGAGCCTTGGTAGTACAGTGGTTTAATGCACCCTGTAATTAACACAGCTGCCTGCGATTTCTGCAGGTTCGAATCTTACCAGGCTCAAGGTTGACTCAGCCTTCCATCCTTTCTAAGGTAGGTTAAATGAGGACCCAGTTTGTGGGGGCAATAAGCTGACTTTGTATAAATATACAAAAGTATGAAGGCTATTGCTTAACACATTGTAAGCCGCCCGGAGTCTCCGGAGAAGGGCGGCATATAAATCAAATAAAAAAAAAAAAAAGAGGGAATGGAGCTGTCAGAGAGAGAGAGAGGCGGAGCCTGGGTTGTCCATCAACCCTCAGATGGAGAGTCAACAGCCCCCATTCTGGAGTGGCTGATGAGGGAGAGGAGGAACATCTGGGTCCAGTGCCTGATGCACAGATGCACAGAAGGCAGAGGAGAGGAGAGCAGTGGAAATCTATGGGCTGATCCTTGGGACGGAAGAGTCACCGCTACTAGTGAAGCCCCATCCTAGCTCTGGGGATAAAAGGCAGGGGGCAGAGATGAATAGGTGTGGCAGACAACTATTCATCTCCCTGCCAGACAAACTTGTTAGCCTGCTGTGAAGAGAGAGAGGGCTTCTTGCCAGGGTTGCCGGAGCTCCTAATAAAGGAAATATTTATTTAACTACAGAGGGTTTGTTGCATTTGGGAGCCAGGTCAGAACAAAGACACAAGTCCTGCAAAAAATTAATAATGATATCATTTTGATTCCCCCTGAAAGGTAAGTAACAAACATGATAATGCTAGACTAAATGTCTAATACGGATGTGATTTTCACAGGTCCGTCCGATAAATAAACTGAGGTTCAGTATTTCCTTGCTTTTCAACCTACCGGATAGTATGTATTGTCTTCAAAGCAGCCACACTCATCCATGGAGATGCATTTGAGGCCATCTGAGAAGAAGCCATCATCACATTGACAACCTTCAACACAGGTCTCCGGGCACTGAAGGTTATCCGTAAGCCCAGCACAGGTGACTTCACAGATATTAGAACAGAGGGTGTAATGGCTATTGGCTGGACAGGTTATTGCTGCAGAAGAAGAGGCAAGAGGAACTAATCAGCTAAAGCAGGAGTCAGTAACCTGCAGCTCTGGAGCCGCATGTGGCTCTTTCACCCCTCTGCTACGGCTCTCTGTCACTCAAAATATGCGTCACAACTGCCAATGTGCGACACCCGCTGGCACGTGATTTATTGAGATTTTCAACCTCCGGTAGGCCAACCATAGATAAATCCCAAAAAAGAAAAGTTTCAGAAGAAAACAGAACATTTAATTCAACTACATATGCTAATTTTGTGGCTACTCAAGAAATAGTCAGGCACAAGAAGGGTTTTGTGGCTCCCGGTGTTTTCTTTTCTGTGGGAAATGGGTCTAAATGGCTCTTTGAGTGTTTAAGGTTGCAAACCCCGACCTAAAGCAACGTTTCTCAACCTTGGCAACTTTAAGCTGCCTGGACTTTGATTTCCAGAATTCTCCAGCGGGCAAGATTTGTCAAACTGCAACAGCCAGTAGGGAGCAACGGTTAGCATTGTCTATATTTTCTTACAAACATTTAGTAAGGGGTCCGTGGTGCTCTCTGAGCTTGCTTGTTTTCTTGCAGACGTTTCATTACCTAACTAGGTAACAATATCATTGCTAGTAAGCAGTGCTGTTTGCTGTCAGTTTTCACTTCAGAGGGTTTGTTGTGTTTGGGGAGCTGGGTCAGAACAATAGAGAAAGCTCTCTTTGCTGCCATCTAATGGTCACTTGCATACTTGCAGTCAATATGTAGCATTGCTACCAGTTCAATTAGGTTCATTGAGAGCATAGGACGGCCCTACGCTGGAGCAGGGGTCTCCAACCTTGGCAACTTTAAGACTTGTGGACTTCAACTCCCAGAATTCTGTGCTGGAGACTCCAAATTAGTTTCTCCTTCTCTATGTTTAACCCAATGATTATTGTAGAGGTAGTAGACAGCAATCTTTCCTATTTGGGAGTGCCAGGTGTGATAGTCGCCAAAGCAACGAATTCCTTGGGCCATGGCCAAATGAAGAGGAAGGAGTGTTAAGTGCTGATTACCTTCCAATTATCTACTTAATTCTCTTTCTCTCTTCGGGAGGGGTTCTTAATTAAAGCTGTGTGAAGCATCAAAGATTCTATTTATAGGCAATATGGTCAAATCATCATTTGAGCTGAATCTTCACACCAAATCTTCTAACAATTCAACGCAACAAACAAAATTAGGCACCTTTGAAGATCTGGTGGACTTTTATCTATGTGTGTGCATGTACTTTGATCAGATCAACTCTTCAGATTGCACTGACTCTTTAATTTTGCATCAACCAAATCACAGAATCCTAGCTGGTTCACACAGCCCCTTACTCTTTATAGTAGGGACATCCACCTTATTCAACCTGTGTTCCAATTAGTAATGCTTCTTGATTGCTACTCACGACAGAAATCTGGGGTCCTCCAAGGCTGGATGGTGACCTTGGCTTCTTGGCAGGCTGCCACGTAGCCCTGGATGCTATGACACAAGATTTGTCTGTCCCCACCGCCGATGCACAAATCAAGGACACAATGGTTGAGATAGGGAGTGGGATCTACAACACCATGGCAGGAGCTGAAAGGCCCATCGGAGGCTGTGAGGATCCCACAGAAGGAGCGTTGCTTAAAAAACTCTTTCTTTGCCTCCGTGCAAACTGGGCAATTATTCCCAGAGCACCCATCAGTGCAGGAGATGCCAGGGGTCTGGATTTTCCAGGCAGCAGCGAACACAACCACGTCCGAGACCACCGTGCCATCTGGTAGTTGAAGATCATCTTTCGGCTGTCCATTGTAGTTTCCACATAAGCCACCCAGATGACCCTGGTAGTTGTTGGGGACAGTGACTCTCACGTTGGAGGAGAGATCAAAGGACACCGTAACACCAAAGAAAGCCTCAATCCTCTGATAAAAGCCATGTTGATAGATTCGGAGCTTTCCATCCAAAAGGCTTACGGGGAGGCGATGGAGTATACCATTTACCTGTCAGGATAAAATTATATCTTCATGAAAAATGAAGAGAGCCCTGGTAGCACAGCAGACTAAAGCACTGTTATTAACATCAGCTGCCTGCAATTACTGCAAGTTCAAATCTCACCAGGCTCAAGGTTGACTCAGCCTTCCATCCTTTCTAAGGTAGGTAAAATGAGGACCCAGATTGTGGGGGCAATAAGCTGACTTTGTATAAATATACAAAAGTATGAAGGCTATTGCTTAACGCATTGTAAGCCGCCCTGAGTCTCCGGAGAAGGGCGGCATATAAATCAAAGGAGTAGGAGGAGGGGGAAGGAGGAGGAGGAGGAGGAGGAGGAGGAGGAGGACATCACTGAAAACCTCCCAAGTACTTTCAAAGGTCCAGGATATTTTTTTTTAAAGGCAGATTTCAGTTCCAAACCATATACACACCATGGATAATGAGGAATTTATGGCTATGTTTCTGTTGCAGCAACTTTTTTAATCTGCCCAGCCATTTCTCTTCTTTCCCCAAAAAGATGGAAAGAAGTGAAATGTTTTCAAGGAAAAAAAAAAATTCCAAGAAAGTCCAGTTGTGATAGTGGTGAAGATCTGTAGCTCAGGTGTAGGAGATTTGTTCTCCGAGCTTGTGGGTTGGCTTCTGAACATTTCATTACCAGGCTAAGTAACATCTTCAGCAGAGTTTAGGGGATGTCAGTGTTCTTCTATTTATACTGGGAACAACTCCATGTGGTGAGTAGGTCCTGTGATGGTGGGGTCACATGAGGTGAGGGTCTTGTGGTGAGTCTTGTGATGGGTCAGGTGTGGGTCAGCAGAGAGACTCTTGTGATGGGGAGGTTATGCCAGGTGAGGGTCATTGGGAGATGAAGTGCTGGTCAGGGGAAGAGGGTGGATGTGCAGGTTGGTTGAGGGTCGGTACTGTCTCTGGTTGGCTGTGCAATTGATTTGAGTTGTCTTTGGAAAAGCACCTTTGGGAGAACCATGACCTGGATAATTGAGAATCTCCATATACATATACAGAGAGTGAACACTGGACACTCACTCTGTAAGTCACCTAAGTAATTACATCTACCCTGTTTCCCTGAAAATAAGACCCAACTGGAAAATAAGCCCTAGCATGATTTTTCAGGATGCTCGTATTATAAGCCCTACCCCAAAAATGAGCCCCAGTTAAGATCAGTTGGTCCACAATGCAGCCGCGCGAGCTGTCGTGGTGCACCTAGGTACACCCACATTACACCAATTCTCCGCGAGCTGCACTGGCTCCCTATTGGTCTCCGGGCACAATTCAAGGTGTTGGTTATTACCTTTAAAGCTTTACATGGTTCAGGGCCCAGGCTATCTTCGAGACCACCTTCTACCGCATAGCTCCCAGTGATTGGTAAGATCTCACAGAGTTGGTCTCCTCCGGGTCCCATCAGTTAAACAATGCCGGCTGGCGGGCCCACGGTGGAGGGCCTTCTCTGTGGCTGCCCCAGCTCTCTGGAACCAGTTACCTCCTGAGGTCCGGACTACCCCCACCCTATTGGCCTTCTGGAAAGCGGTGAAGACCTGGCTTTTCCTGCAGACCTGGGGCCGTTGATATCGCTGTTCAATCTTGCGAGATCCGGCCATGGATGGTGTGCATGTGTTTTTAATGTTTTTAAAATGTTTTTTTTAAAAAAATTATGTCACTGTTTGTATTATTTCTGTTGTAAGACGCCCAGAGTCCCTTGGGAGTTGGGTGGCATAGAAATATGATTAATTAAATTAAATTAAATTAAATTAAATCACCAGCCAGCCAGACTCAATTAATACCGTATTTCCCCAAAAATAAGACCTAACCAGAAAATAAGCCCTAATACAATTTATGGAGCAAAAAAATAATATTAGAGTGGATGGCCGCACCTCAGCTGGCCAGAATCCTAATGCGCAAGTTTGGCGTGCGTGCGAGCAAAACGAGCATGCACGCGGAGATCACGCGCAAAGCGCATGCGCGAAGAGGACCGGTAGTAACACTGGTTGGAACCCACCACTGCTCCACACATACCTCCAATGAACAGGATTCAGAAACTCACCTGGGCGTATCCCCACTTGTCTTGCAACAGAGAAAGCACAAAGTCCAACATCTCCACTGTGACCACTTTGGGCACTGCAAGGTTTCCATTCCCCAAGGCCTGGTTCTGTACCACTATAGTAAATGGATGCAGATTCACACTCTTGGTTAGGAAGGTCAACTTGCTTAGGATGTAGGAGCAGGTGCCTTGGAAGTCAAAGGGCAGCCCATCAAAAGTCAGGTAGAGATCTCCATCAAGAGAACAGGTGGCACTTCCAGTGGGGTAGCATTTCTGGTGTCCATCTTGTAGTTGGCATATTTCATTGGGACCACAGGGGGTTACTTCACATACCACCTTGCCACCAGCCTGGCAGACGCAACGTTCTTGGCAAGTTGGATAGAACACTTCAGAGACCGGATAGTAGCGCCCTTGATGGAAGCAGCCACACTTCGCCAGCGGTACACACGCATCATTACTCCGAACAAAGTCATCATTGCAGACACAATTCTCTTGACATCGGGTGGGGCAAGGAGCTGGGAAATAAAGGCTGCTACATGCCTGGTCACATTGCTTAGCACAAAGTTCATAGTGACTGTTGGCAGCACAACGCGGGGCTGAAAACGAAAACAGAAGGGATGAGTTAATCATGCTGCAAAGGTAATCAGGCACGGGACTAAAACTCAGTCCTTGCAGAAGGCAAAGACGTGGTTAAAAAATACAGGTAGTCCTCGAGTTACAACGATCCGTTTAAGCGAGCGTTCGAAGTTACAAAGGCCCTGAAGAAACGTATGACCATTTTTTCACACTTATGACTGTTGCAGCATCCCCATGGTCATGTGATCAAAAATATCGGACTCTGGCAACTGGTTCGTATTTATGACGGTTGCAGTGTCCCAGGGTCAGGCGATCCCCTTTTACGACCTTCTGACAAGCAAAGTCAATGGGGAAGCACCATATTCACCGAACAACTGCGTTACTCACTTAACAATCGCAGTGATTCACTTAACAACTGTATCAAAAAAAGGTGACAAAATGGGGCAAAACTCACTTAAGAACTGTCTCACTTAGCAACAGAAATTTGGGGCTCTGTTAAGGTTTGTAGGTTGTGGACTATCTGTAATGGCCCAACCCTTGCATCTAGAACAGTGTTTCTCAACCTTGGTAGCTTGAAGATGGGTGGACTTCAACTCCCCCATCTTGGGGGATGCTGCTGGCTGGGGGATTCTGGGAGTTGAAGTCCAACCATCTTCAAGCTTCCAAGGTTGAGAAACACTGATCTAGAAAGATAAGCTATCCTTGGTGAAAATCTATAGAGATTCTTAGTCATCCAGGTCATGGTTGTCCCAAAGGTGCTTTTTTAGGAGGCAACTGGACTTTCTTGTTTTTTCTTTTCTTTTGAAGACGTTTCGCTTCTCATCCAAAAAGCTTCCTCAGCTCTGACAAGATAGTGGGAAATGGAAAGATTTATATTCCTTGCAGATAGCTGATGATTTGCATCCTTTTAGAGGGACTTTGAGGTCCTCACGACACAGATAAACCTCCAAGTGGCCTCAACGACCCTCTAAAAGGATGCAAATGACCAGCTGTCTGCAAGGAATATAAATCCTTCCATTCCCCACTAACCTGTCAGAGCTGAAGAAGCTTTTTTATTATTATTATTATTTTAATTTGATTTACATGCCGCCCTTCTCCGGAGACTCAGGGCGGCTTACAATGCGTTAAGCAATAGCCTTCATACTTTTGTATATTTATACAAAGTCAGTTTATTGCCCCCACAAACTGGGTCCTCAATTTACCTATCTTAGAAAGGATGGAAGGCTGAGTCAACCTTGAGCCTGGTGAGATTTGAAACTTACAGTAATTGCTGACAGCTGGTGTTAATCACAATGCTATCAGTCTGCTGAGCCACCAGGCTTCTTGGATGAGAAGCGAAACGTCTTCAAAAGAAGAAAAAAACAAGATAGTCCAGTTGCCTCCTTAAAAAGCACCTTTGGGATTATCTTTACTACTTCTACGGCAGTAAAATTGCAACCTTCAGATGACTAAACTGCTTGATGAGTTGATCTGGAAAGCTAAGCATGAAGAAGTGACAGAGAAAATAGATCTGCCGATAGTAAAGAAAGTTAAATATTTAGGCATCTATTTAACAGCAAGATGTGCAGCAATTAAAGACGATAACTATATAAAACGAATGCAACAAATTAAGTTGGACCTGGAGAAATGGAAGAATTTACAACTATCTTTGGTAGGGAGAATAGAAATGAATATACTACCGAAATTACTTTTTTTTATTCCAAATGATACCGATAAAAATAGAGAGAAAAAAAATCTTCTCTTATCTACACCGACTCCTTTCTCTATGTCCGGTTTTTCCCGCTCCTACTAGGAACGGACTTGTATTCCCCAAGTCAAACACACACACACACACACACACACACACACACACACACACACACACTTGTTTACATCCCGGAGACTCACGGCAAAAAATTGGAGTTCTCCAGGGGTATATGGTGATGCCAGCAGCTTGGCAGGCTGATGCGTAATTAGCGACGGCTGCACAGACAAAGGCGTAGCGTCCCTTGAGGAAGCAGGAGTCGTAGATGCAGTCCTGGAAGGCGGCTTCTTGATCCACATGGCCGTGGCATTCTCTGAAAGGCCCGTTGACGGCGACGATGAGACCACAGTCCCGTCCTGAAGCCCGCTGCTGTTTTGCTAAGACGTCAACCCCTGGGCAGGCGGGATCTACAACCTGTTTGCAGCTTGGGTCATACGCTTTGGTGCCCTTAGCACCAAACACGGGGATTTTGGGAACAAGGATGCCCCCGGGAATAAGAGCGTCATCCGCAGGTTTGTTGTTGAAATTCCCACAAAGGCCACAGAGCGTATTTCTATATGTGCCGGGTACGGTGACCGTAAGTTGGTGGTCCCAATTAAAGCTGACTGTGAGGCCAAAGTCAGTTTTGACCACAGCGCTCGGGCCTTTCCGATATATCTTGACTCTGTTTCCAACAGCATTATAAGGCAGGCAGGTCAATATACCACCAACCTATGAAGGAGAAATAGGATGGTCTACGTTAAGCAAATGAATAGGAGCAATGATGGGGAAAAAACAACAACAATCAGGCCAAAGATGATCTCTCACCTCTTCTGTCCTTCTCAGGGTCTGTAGAACAGCAGAAATAGGGAATATATTTTTTGACCACAGACCATAGTGTTTTTGATGGTTTTTTTTCCCATAATGGCTGAAGGCAACAATGGTTGGAGCAGAGATATGGTGAGATCATGGGATTGGACATTTTTGGGGTATTTCTTTATGTGCATCTACACACATTCATGTGCATAGGTTGCCTCTGATGCCTGGTAATGGAGCAGAGGTAAGTTTCAGCAGATTCTGACCAGTTCTGGAGAACCGGTAGCGGAAATTTTGAGTGGTTCGGAGAACCGGTAGTAAAAATTCTGACTGGCCCCGCCCCCATCGATTCTCTGCCTCCCAAGTCCCAGCTGATCGGGAGGAAATGGGGATGTTGCAGTCACCTTCCCCTGGAGTGGGATGGGAATGGAGATTTTACAGTATCCTTCCCCTGCCATGCCCACCAAGCCACACCCACCAAGCCATGCCACACCCACCAAGCCACACCCACAGAACCGGTAGTAAAAAATTTTGAAACCCACCATTGTAATGGAGCCTTCCAAAAAAGGGACATGGAATCTCCCTGCTGTCAGTGTTCCCATACCGGGAAGTCAAACCCGGGGCCGCTTGGGTGAAAACCAGGAACCCTAACCACTAGACCAATGGGACTTTGTGGGGTCTTGAGTGCTTCTAGGTTTTTGTGGTCTGTCCACAGCTCGAATGGGATCTGACTGCCCTCGAGGAAGTGTCTCCAATTCAATAGGACCCACCAAACCACGTAGGCTTCCTTCTCCCACATGGCCCACCTCCAATATGATATTTCCAATCGAGCTATTTTTTGAGGAATCTAACCTGCCTTGGTGTTTTGCTCAATATGGAACTATTACTTGGAACCCTGACACCTCCTGCACCAACAGAAGGACACAGGTATAGCTTAGAAGCCAAATATCCATCTTGGGATCCTACAAAATGCTCTTCTCCATTCTCTAAATACTCAAATGATACATAGCAATAGCACTTAGATTTATATACTACCCCATAGTGCTTTACAGCACTTTCTAGGTGGTTTACAATGTCAACCTATTGCCCCCAACAATCTGAGTCCAAATTTTATTGACCTCGGAAGGACGGAAGGCTAAGTTAACCCTGAGCCGGTCAGGATTGAACTCTTGGCTGTGGACAGAGCTAGCCTGCATTACTGCATTCTAACCACTGCGCCACCAGGGCTCCTAATGGACAGATACAACCAGATGGCCTGCAGATAAAATAATGATGGCATTCTAATATTATTAATAGGAGAACAGCAACCAGCTGGATGCCTATCTGAAGCTGTTCAGTTGTGTTACAGGTGAAATATTGTGACAAGAAATCAGAAATGAGTTACTCTCCAGAAGAAGGATGGGATGTGTAGATGTTAAGCATAAAATGCTTGTATAGAAGTGTACATTTATAGAGGTACATATAAATGTGCATCACTTTCTATAGGTCCCCCAATGTGACCATTTATATTGTCCTCAAAGCCAAACTACTGCCTGCCTCCAGCAGATCTGGATTATTTGAGTTCAATAAAATCCAGTAGTTTATTAGCAGCCAGCTAGCACAGTGGTTAGAATTAAGTATTGCAGGCTGACTCTGCTCACTGCCAGGAGTTCACTTCTGACCGTCTCAAGGCTGACTCAGCCTTCCATTCTTCTGAAGATCAATAAAATGAGGACCCAGATTGTTGAGGGCAGTAGGCTGACTATGTAAACCACTTAGAGAGGGCTATAAAAATGGTACCACTATGAAGCAGGATATAAGTCTAAGTGCTATCACTACGGCATCCACTAGTTATCCTTTTTGGTTTGATTGAAAGATAGAAATGGTAGGTTGGGTTGATTTTAGAGGCCTCATCAATCCTTTGTATGACTCTGTTTATAAAATGAGCATCAAAGAAAGATGAAGGTTGTAATAACCAGACACTACCCAAACTTACCAAGACTTTCCCAGGATATTGCCTACTGATTATGATCTCAGTACCGTAGACATTGATTTGTACGCTCCGGGTCCAGGAGACAGCACGGTTTCCCCGATACTCATTTTGGACGTAGACACCAAACCAGTTCAGATCCATAGGTTTTTCACACACTTCAGTGAGGACATAGGCGCAGGGTCCTTGGAAATCAAATTTATAGTTGTCGAAGGAAATATAGTGGGGATCGCCGTGAATTTTGCAGCTAACGAAGTCGATCGGGTAGCAGTCCCTCACCCCTTTTATAACCAGGCATTTTTCTGAGGATTTGCAAGCTTGTTGGGTGCACTCAATCTGATTCGTGGCTGGGTTGCATACGCATCTCTTTGTGCACTTATCGTCGGCCCAGAAAGCCTCATTGGGGGCATAGAGGTAGCCTTCATGCCGACATCCACAACTGCTCTTAGGGATGCACTTGCCCTGGCTCAGCACGAAACCTGGGAGGCAATGACAACCTTCTACGCACACCGCTGGGCAGAGGAGTTGCTGTTGAGTTTGGTCATCCAGGCAGGTGGCTGGGCAGGCTGTTCCACACTGCTGGTACTGACTGTTGGAAGGGCACTCGGGTACTGCGTGAAGAAAAGAAAAGAAAGCTATCAATATTTTCTTCCTTCCTGCGCCACTGAAAGGGCAAGAACAGTGATGGCGAGATGGCATCTCTTTAGAGACGTGCTAATATGCAGCGACAAGTCTATATTTATCCCAGATTGATAAGTGGCTGATGCCTAGAGAGCACATTAACCGTAATAAGATCCTCACCTGTTGAAACCATTTAAAAATCAAATTAATCCTCATTCCCCGTAATTAGACAGAACACACGCTCCCAAAACGGCCAGCTGCAAAAGGACTGGTAAATTTGGGATAACCACAGCGTGTTCGCTCTGACTTCGGCTCTTTGAAAACGCAGCGCACTTTATGCCTTGGGATGTGTCTAAATATATCAATCAATTGTCACTCAATCCATTCGTATTGATTGGGGGGGGGTTTCCATGTTTTTGCCACCCTAGATGCCAATCTGCTTCATGCAAATTCATCACCCGGTCCATTAGCAAGAGCGTTGGTTTCACAAGTTTACCGAAAATTCGATGGTGATCACAAGGTGCAAAAACGAGCATCGTCCCTAGAAAAGATGCCATCGTTTGAGGCCACCAGGGTATCTGGCCATATCTGAAGACTTAATTCCTTTTCCAGGACTCCTTTCAAAGTTTTTGATGTGGAAATAACGGGGAAATGATCATTAATTTATTCTGAATCAATTGGTTGTCACTCCAGTTTAGAATTTGCCTTCCTTGGAATAAAGATTCAAACCCAACTCAAAGATTAAGGGTGATCCTCACCCTGCATGAAAAACATTGAGTTTTCCTGATAAAACTTTGTAGTTTTATATCTTGAAGCATACCTTGTAGGGAGCTGCATAAAATCCTCACCATGGTTTTTATAGTGTTCCCTAAATCTGTTTTCAGCTATTGATCAAATTTTAGTAAGTTGAAGGTGTACTTAAAACTGGGTAAAGTAAGAGAGGTGAAGATAGAACGAATTAATATGAAAAAAGGAATAGCTGGATTTTAAGAAATATGATTTATTCGGAATACACTAACTTTAGGCTTTGGCTGTTGATACTCGTAGAATTCTAATCCTACAGATATCAGTATTTATATACAAAAAGGGCAGTAGTGGAATTCAGATTTTTTTACTACCGGTTTTGTGGGCGTGGCTTGGTGAGCATGGCATGGGAAGGATACTGCAAAATCTCCATTCCCACCCCGCTCCAGGGGAAGGATACTGCAAAATCCCCATTCCCACCCCACTCCAGGGGAAGGATATTGCAAAATCTCCACTCCCACCTCACTCTGGGGTCAGTCAGAGGTGGTATTTGCCGGTTCTCTGAACTACTCAAAATTTCCGCTACCGGTTCTCTAGAACCTGTCAGAACCTGCTGAATAGCACCCCTGAAAGAGAGTCCCCTGGCTTAAGGATGCCCTCAAATTTGCGGAAGTACACGTATTCCTTAGAGAAAAGAACCAAAGGAGGAAATAAAAGGAAGAGAGCTTGTGAGAGCTGAGCATGATCGTAAACATGAAGTGCTGACTGATCGGCTTTTAAGAATAGCTTGGAATCCAGTGGAGAATTAAGACATGCACAGTGTCTTTGGAAGCTACTTCAAATTGAAAGTAATTCTTTCCATTCAAGATTGTCAAGCAAACTTCTTTAACAAGATTTATTGAGGTGAAAGCGAAGGCGGGGTGGGGGTGGGGGTGTTACAAGAATTTCAGCTCCTCCACTAGTTCCTATTTACGACCATTTTTACTCATGATACGGGTAGTCCTCAACTTACGGCCGCAACCATTTCTGTTGCTAAATGAGACATGTGTTAAGTGAATTCTTGCCCCATTTTACAATCTTTCTTGCAACATTTGTTCAGGGAAATCCGTGCATCTGTTCCGTTAATAACACGGTCGTTAAGTGGATCTGGCTTCCCCATTGACTTTGCTTGTCAGAAGGTTGCAAAAAGGGATCACGTGACCCCGGGACATTGCAACCGTCATAAATATGAGTCAGTTGCCAAGCCTCTGAATTTTGGTCACTTGGCCACAGGGCAAAAATTCACTTAACACATGTCTCGTTTAGCAACAGAAATGGTTGCAACAGTCATAAGTGTGAAAAACGGTCCTATGTCCGTGTTGTAATTTTGAATGGTCACTAAATGAACTGTTATAAGTCGAGAACTACCTGTATATACGGGTGGAGACTTTCTCATTATCTCTCTAACAGCTTTTGGAGCAAAGTTCTTTTTACTGATAACGAAGGAGCTTGGGACTAGTTTACAAAATTAACTCCTGAATCATCCTGTGTCTGCGATTGCGCACAACAAATAGCCCTGAGGTAATATTTGACATTGTGCCTCTGAATCGCACACTTCGCATCCGGTTCACACTCATTTTAAATGGGGTGGGGCTAGGGGGCAGCATTCCCGCTGTAGAAAGTTAGCATCCACCCCTCTCCTAGAAGAATGAAATATTTTGAGAAATATTAAAAAGGACAGAAGATTACATTTCCCTGGATGAGAAATGGAGAAACGTGTTTTTTTAGAGGCAGAAAGCAGCCCCCACCTTTCTTAATTACCCTCAGCAGATGTCAGCACTTAAGAGATAAAGAGCTTACTGAAAGAAGCCAAGTATCTAGCTAGCTCTATTCATAGGCAAAAATTCCCTGAAGCAAGGTCTGAACAAAGGTAGGATTAGCCCTAACTCAAGATCCAAACCAGGACAAAGCCATTAAGCCATAATAGGAATTGCCCAACACCCTTTCAGAACATAAGCTCCTTCATTGCATCATCTCAGAGCAGACCAAACTTCAACCAAACGTAGCTCAGACAACCTATAAAGCAAGCTATGACCCCTACATAACCCCTACAACAGCTAATAGAATACATGTTCTTGCACAGGAACAGGACGCTCAAGTGCAAAGCTCAGAGAAGGTATTTAAAAACCCCACTCTCAACTCCATGTGATCAGCTGCCCAGAATCACAAAACCATGTGGTTCTGCTTCATCATTAAGCCATCTTTGCAATCAGCCTCCAGCCTCCATTTTGTCTCCAGTGCCTTTCTCCCAGCTTGGAACTGAACCAGATGGATATTTCTTCCAATATTGAATTCCTTGCATACTTACAGCATCCGGCCAATTTTCTCCATTCACCAATCTCGACCCCATGTTTCTGGCAGGCATCTGCATAGGACTCCAGGGCATCACATACAGATTGTTTGTGTCCTTGATTGGCGCAAACATCGTAAACACAACCTTCAAAGTAGAACTTGGGGTCCACTTTAGAATGGCAAGGAGAGAAAGGACCACCAGAAGCCTTGATTATTAGACCGCAATATTGCTCAGACTGGTATATCTGGGCCTGGTCAGCTTGGCAAGGCACGCAAGGCCCATGGCAATCATCCCAACATGTGTCTTGGTCACCAACATCCACCTTCCAACTCTTGCCAAAGGCATTGGCATCTGGGGCCTTTGTTCCTGCTGGTGTTTGGAAGTCATCTCCAGGATCTTCATTATAGTTTCCGCAAAGGCCACAAAGACTTCCCTGAAAATCACTGCTGATGGTGAGACGGAGTTGCTGATTCCAGTCATAAGACACTCGGAGATGAAATTTAGTGACCACTATGGCAGAACCTCCACTTTGGAAGATCTGGAGAGAACCATCATTTAGGCAGATGGGGAGTTGTGCCCGAATGCCATTTATCTGCATTGGAAGAAAGGACAATTACAAAGGTTGCAGCATTGCAACAACAAACAGAAGCAGCTGTAATCTGAACTCCCATCTGGAAAGGAAATGATTGCTAAAATATTTTGGTATCCTGGCCCAGGGCTGGAGACAAGAAAAAATAAAAACAAAAGACTATCAAACTAATAAAAGGGACGTAGTGGCTCAGTGGCTAAGACACTGAGCTTGTCAATCGAAAAGTTGGTAGTTTTGCAGTTCGAATCCCTAGTGCCACGTAACGGGGTGAGCTCCCGTTACTTGTCCCAGCTTCTGCCAATCTAGCAGTTCAAAAGCATGTAAAAAATGCAAGTAGAAAAATAGGGACCACCTGTGGTGGGAAGGTAATAGCGTTCCATGCGCCTTTGGCGTTTAGTCATGTCGGCCACATGACCACGGAGACGTCTTTGGACAGGGCTGGCTCTTTGGCTTTGAAACGGAGATGAGCACCGCCCCCTAAAGTCATGAATGATTAGTACGTATGTGCGAGGGGAACCTTTACCTATCAAACTAATAAAGAATCTGTGCTTTATATTTATATTTAATTTTTACTAACTAATTTTTAAAATATCAAAATTTAAAGAAAAAAGAAGTAAAGACAAGTAAAAGAAAAGTAATAAATAGAAAAGAAAAAAGATACAAAGAAGCAGCTTTTGATCTTCACAGCAGTTACACATTCATTTATATTTTACCCTATTTTAAGGTCACAGCATAATTTCCTTCTTTCTATAGTTTACCTTTTCTAATTATCAAACCCCTTAAATCACAAGGTCATTTTTTTTCCCCTTTTTTCGGTAAAAAGTCCATAAAGGGTTTCCAGTCACGAATAAATGTAATCTCCTTTCCCTAATCGGACAAGTCAATTTCGTTATCTCTGCTAATTCTTTCATCTTCACCACCTATTCCTCCATTATAGATATTTCAAAACCTTTCTATTTTTCTGCACATAACATATCTCATAGCAGTAATCATAGATAATAATAAAAAAAAAGCTTCCGTGGTTCTTTTCCAATTGGTTGTCAAATAATCCCAGCAAGTAAAGTTCTCATTTCAATTGAATATTACTCTCTAAGAGAGGAAGGAATTATTTTTCAGGGAAACCTGAAGTATACTGGGTGCTCGGATGTGAGAAATTCATCCTGCTAGGAAAACATAGGCTGAGCTTGCATAACATCCTACTCTAAATTAAAATGGGTTTCGGTAGTTGATATTTTAGCACACTGAAAGTACCCAACTATCCTGTTTCCCTGAAAATAAGACATACCCTAATAATAAGCCCAATCGGGCTTTTGAGCGCATGGCTAAAATAAGCTCCCCCTTGAAAATAAGCCCTCCCAAAAAATATTTAAATGCTTGTGCAGCCGGTCCTCGCCATTTCCTCTGGTTAGGGTTAGGGAGACACAGCTGGAAATCAGGTAAGACGGCAAGAGGAGCCCCATCTTGCTCCACACGCCCCAAAATAATAAGACCTCCTCGAAAATAAGGCCAAGCGCTTATTTTGGGGTTCAAAAAAATATAAGACAGGGTCTTATTTTAGGAGAAACACGGTATTGTGTGAAATAGACACTCTATTGCATCATGTTCTGATTTATTTTTTCTGTATCAGTATTTTTGTGAATGCAGCCGTTGAATTTTGTTAAAGCAGCATATTGTGCAAAATCAACTTAAAAAGGGCTTCGTTATGACTAATTTAAATCCATGCTGTACATTTAAATGAATATTTTATGACACATTATATGCAAAAAAGCATTCCACCAACAATGAAAAACGTTTTTTTTTTCTTTTTATAGCGGGGAAGGTTTTGCCTTGAAAATCAGCCTAGCATTATTTTAAACAAATAAATCTGAGCTTTGATTCTTGTTCTGCTTGCTTTGCTCATTCTGCTTTTCCTTTAAAGTTAATTCCATGTATGTATTTAATTGCTATGTTTAATGAGATGCTATGTTTTCCTTTTTTTAGCTTCTTTTCTTAACTACTACTCCAAAAATTAAACCAACATCTGTAGCCGTTAAGTTAAATCTACAAAAATAGGCCAGTTGTCATTGTTCTAACAAGGGCTTAGGGCAAGTAATAAAAACTATCTTTGAATTCACCTTCACCAGGTTTCCTGTGAGCCTGAAATAAGTCTTGGAAATGTTATCAGGTAGTTTTTTTTTCCCAGGGCCACCTTAATTCTGCAGCTGCCTTTAACGCCATCTCTAGATTTTATGTTAGCTGACGAAATGTTTATGCTCTGATTTTTTAGGAACAGTACAAATAAATACAGCATTTCCCCCAGAATTATCACTACAATCATTTTACAAATTTGAATGGGTGGAGGAAGATCATCTAAATCAGTGTTTCCCAATCTTATCCATTTCAGAGATACGTGGACTTACAGAATACAGAATAACAGAGTTGGAAGGGAGCTTAGAGATCTTCCAATCTACCCCCGGCTGAAGCAGGAGACGCTATACCATTACAGACAAATGGCTGTCCAATCCCTTCTTATAAACCTCCAGTGATGCAAGGTTTTCCACCCATAACTTCTAGAGGAAAGCTGTTTCACTGGTTAATTGTTCTCTCCATCAGGAAATTTTTCCTTAGTTCAAGGTTGGATCTCTCCTTGATAGGTTTCCATCCATTACTTCTTGTTCTGCCCTCAAATAGGTTGACCCAACTCTTCTCTGTGGCAGCCCCTCAAATATTGGAAAACTGCTATCATACCACTTTAGTCCTTCTCTTCATTAGACTAGACTTAGATATACTCAGTTCCCTTAACCATGTACTATATGTTTTAGTCTCCAGCTGCCTAATCATCTTCCTAGCTCTTCTCTGCACCAGAGGTGGGTTTCAGCAGGTTCCGACCAGTTCTGGAGAACCGGTAGCAGAAGTTTTGAGTAGTTCAGAGAACCGGTAAATGCCATCTCTGACTGGCCCCACCCCCATCTATTCTCTGCCTCCCGAGTCGCAGCTGATCGGGAGGAAATTTACTTATTTATTTATTTATTTTTAAATTTGTATACCGCCCTTCTCCCTCAGGACTCAAATGGGGATTTTGCAATAAGCTTCCTCTGGAGTGGGGAGGGAATGGAGATTTTACAGTATCCTTCCCCTGCCCACCAAGCCTTGCCCACCAAGCCATGCCACACCCACCAAGCCACACCCACAGAACCGGTAGTAAAAAAATTTGAAACCCACCACTGCTCTGCACCCTTTCTAGAGTCTCAACATCTGTTTTGTATCCTGGTGACCAAAACTGAACACTGTATGCTAAGTGTGATGTTACCAAAGTAGTGTAAAACATTATTAACACTTCAAATGACCTTGATGCTATCCCTCTGTTGATGCAACCTAGAACTGCATTAGGTTTTTTTTGGCAGCTGCAGCACACTGCTGGCTCATATTTAAATGGTTGTCTACTAGGAGTCCCAGATCCCTCTCCCAGTTACTGCTATTGAGTCACCTACTCTATGCTTGTGCATTTGGTTTTTCTTGCTTAAGATGGGATATTCTGGGAGTTCACCCATCTTAAAATGTTTACGGCGAAACACAGATCTCAATGGTGTTAGGAACCAATTCTTAATGCAGTTGAGATCCATTCTGAATCATCTCTCACCTTCACAAAACCATATTCCGATCTGGTTATGGTGATAGTGTATTCATAAACCTCAACGGTCACCATCCCGATATAGGAGACCCGTTTACTTCCTCTGTTTTCATTCTTAGCATAGACGTGGAAAGACGGGAGTCCGAAGTTAATGCCACATGTCTTGGCGATTGTATAGGTGCAGGTCCCTTGGAAATCAAACTTATGCTTATCAAATGTATTGTAGTGAGGGTCGCCCCATATCCAGCAGGTACCGTTCGAAGTTGGCACGCAGTGTGGTTCACCGTTGATCATCTTGCATTCAAGGCCTTTTTGACACAGGACGTTGCTGCAACCGAGAGGACCTAAGGACCGGATATGCAATTTTAATCATTAGTCTTATGTTAATGGAGGAATCGGAGTCAATGCAAAATGCCATGCTCTTTTCAGCAGTGTTCGGACCTGACTTCAGGTTTTGAAAGTTTCAGAGAATCACGGAACACTCATCTCGATGAGCTTCCTCCTTCCTTCAGCCCACACATGTCCTCTAGAAAGTTCACCTGGCTATAATAGCCATAGCACCTAAGTTAAAGACATGCTGCTTTTGGTGCTATTTTAAGGCATCGGAATAGAATAGAATAGAATAGAATAGAATAGAATAGAATAGAATAGAATAGAATAGAATGGAATGGAATGGAACGGAACGGAACGGAACGGAACGGAACGGAACGGAACGGAACGGAACAGAACAGAACAGAATAGAATAGAAACCTTATACTTTTTCAGACAAATGGTTGTCCAATCTCTTCTTTAAAACCTCCAGGGTTAAAACACTCACAACTTCTGGAGACACAATGCATGTTTACCAGTGGTGGGTTTCCCCCCGTTGGCACCGGTTCTATAGAACCAGTAGTAAAACTGGCAGGAGGCTCTGTTCATCGACCCCGACGTCATCAGAATGCCTCTGCGCATGTGCAGAATCTTCTGCGCATGTGCAGAAGAGCTCACGCGCGTCCCCATTGCGAACCGATAGTAAAGGTAAGTAGAACCCACCCCTGATGTTTACAGAGTAGAAAGTGCAGTCACTAAGCTCAGTGACAGCCATACTTAGAAGGCTTTAAAAGAGGATTACGCCAAGAAGGAGACAAGAGTTTCAATGGCCGTTACTCATTGTGGCAGTACATGGCATGCACTTAATCTTAAATGCCACTCAATGCCATTTGAAGGGAGATGACTGTTTTGAGATTTCGGCATGTTGTTAGACATTCTGGGAAGACAATTCAAAACTAAGGATATTGCAAAGCGGTGCCCCCCCCCACTCCCTTGGTTTCCCTACCCTCAATCAGGGGTGGGTTTCGTTTACCTTTGCTACCGGTTCGCTCACTTGTGCGCGAACCCCATCTGTGCATGCGCAGGTCGTATTTGATGATGTCCGAGTGGGTGGGCGGAGCCTCCCGCTGCCGCCACTACCGGTTCGCCAGAACCAGGGCGAACCAGTAGCAACCCACCACCGCCCCCAATGATGTCACAGTTTGGGTCCAGAAGGAAAGCGCAACTGAATTGGCCGTTGTGAATGCTATTCAGAAAGATCCCAGGCTCCCCTTATCCAAGCCCATACCCAAATGACTGAGATCAGCACCGATACTACCACAATGTCCTTTGCTGTTTCATTAAAAAAAACTCGGAAGACACAGTATTCCCTTCCTATAGCACTTAGCACTAGTGGTTAGATTTATATGCTGCTTCACAGTACTTTACAACACTGTCTAAGTGGTTTACAGAGTCAGCACATGGCCCCCGATAATCTGGCTCCTCATTTTATCCACCTTGGAAGGATGGGAGGCTGAGTCAACCTTGAGCAGGCCAGGATCAAAGGCATCGAACTCCTGGCAATGTGAGCAGAGTGAGCCTGCAATACTGCATTCTAACCACTGCGCCACCACGGCTCTTAAATATTCCAAATATCTTCCCAGTCCACCCCTCCACAAACTTGAGTACAAGTTAGAGGAGATTCTACTCACCTTGCCAACTAGAGCCAATAGTCCCGTAGCTGTTCTGGTTTGCCACGCCCACAATGAGGAGGCCAAATGCCGAATTTGGATGTTCCACTTTGTAGGGGAGAAGTGCCAACTGCAACTGATACAAGGCCCAAGAGAAAACTGTGCCGGGAATCGGATTCCATTCCAATTTAGGTAGGGGCTGGCCTCCCACTAGGAGCCCATTGATCTGAAGAGACTCCACCACCAGAATGGCAAAGTTCTGAAAATTAGCCTGCCCAACCACACTGTATGTCTGGCTGTAGGTGCTGGTATCTGGAATCCCTATCAAAAAAGTGTCGTACAAAAAGGTTTGGTATGTAGCACCTGTGCTGTAGAAAAATACCTGAAAGGGCACATCGGCTTGTACGTATAATGCTGTTTTGGGCAACAGACTAATCGGCAGAACTTGCCCGCCATTCAGCCTGACGGCCTGCTTTTGTGCACCCATTTGGTATTCTACCGCTGTGGTTTGGGAGGCTGAAATGAACGCGATGTCACTCTTCGTCTGCCAAGGCATTGGTGGGACTATGTAATTCTTCCTCCATTCCTTCACTGATTGGAGCTGCTCAAAGACATGGTTACATTTGGTGTATTTCCATGAACAGACATGACCCGCTAGGACTACCACGGGTGTCTGGGAGACAATTCTGGTGCCGGAAAGATCCTCTGCTGCTTGCAACTGGATTCCCTGAAAAGCTTGCAGTGTTACTGTAAGTTTACTTCCAGCAGCGTATGTTTGTCCGTTGAGGACCACCTGGGCTGTCAAATGGATGACGACCACATTAGACCCTTCGTAAGACAAGACCGCGAACTCTGGGAAAGCCCCGCTGGGACCTCCGGTTGGGGTGACCACATAATACTCAGTTCCTGAAGCGCTCCTAGGAAAGAGTTGCGAAATTTCAGTAGTCAGAGGCTTGGAGTTGAAAGAGACCACCGAGATGTCTTTGTCTGCAGAGATGCGAACCACGTTGGGGAACACTTTGCTACCTTTAATTTCGATAGACGGCGGGAGGACAATAGACTCCAGCTTTCCTTTATACACAGTAACGGTCTTCTTGAATTCGGTCCCACAAACGTTGCACGGCACAGAAACAGTGACTGTCGTCTGGTCATGGATGCCTGTAATTTGAACCTCTAAATGGGGGGCCTGTGTCCCATAATTTTCCATGAAAGAGGTGATAAAGTCTTTTCCTATGCTTTGGCTCAGGCAGGTCGCTGTGAGGGAAAGATGAAAAGAAGAGATTGGGGGTGGGGGCGGGACGGAGATGGTTACATTCAGTGGTGAAATCCAAATTTTTTTTACTACCAGTTCTGTGGGGGGTGGGCTTGGTGGGCGTGGCTTGGTGGGCATGGCAGGGGAAGGATACTGCAAAATCTCCATTCCTACTCCACTCCTGGGGGAAGGATATTGCAAAATCTCCACTCCCACCCCACTTCCAGGGGAAGGATACTGCAAAATCTCCATTCCCAGCTCACTCCTGGGGAAAGGACAAATCTCCATTCCCAGCTCCTCCTGGGGAAAGGATACTGCAAAATCTCCATTCCGGCCCACTCCTGGGGAAGGATACTGCAAAATCTCCACTCCCAGCCCACTCCAGGGGAAGGATACTGCAAAATCTCCATTCCCACCCCACTCCTGGGGAAAGGATATTCCCAGCTCACTCCTGGGGAAAGGATACTGCAAAATCTCCATTCCCGGCCCACTCCTGGGGAAAGGATACTGCAAAATCTCCACTCCCAGCCCACTCCAGGGGAAGGATACTGCAAAATCTCCATTCCCACCCCACTCTGGGGCCAGCCAGAGGTGGTATTTGCTGGTTCTCCAAACTACTCAAAATTTCCACTACCGGTTCTTCAGAACCTGTCAGAACCTGCTGGATTTCACCCCTGGTTACATTGGATCTGCTCAAGGTCCAACTTCTGTTGTAGTTGCAGCTTCAACACCATTTTAGCTTCTGTTCCAAAGGAAGAATTGTCCCAAAGGAGCTTTTTTTCAAGGGACTTCCTTTTGTGTTTCCTTTGAAGACGTTTCACTTTTCATCCAAGAAGCTTCTTCAGTTCTGACTGAAGGATGGCTGACCATTCAGTCAGAACTGAAGAAGCTTCTTGGATGAGAAGCAAAACGTCTTCGAGGAAAAACAAAGAAAGTCCAGTTGTCTCTTCAAAAAGCACCTTTGGGACAGCCATGATCTGGATGACTGAGAATTCTCCATAGGCAAAAGTAAGAATTAGGAACTGCTCCCTCATCCCGTGTTATTAATCCCCCTCGTCTAGAATTCAAAGGAACTGGTGTCATTTCATTACGTGTTCCCAAGTCGTGATCTGAATTATGGCTATTCCTGGACTCAGAGGCCGAAAGAAGAATAGAAATACAACCCAGGAATTAGGATAAAGATGGGGAAATTTTAGTTGAAGAAGCCAGCAATCTTGGCTTTCTTAAAATTATTGTGGATCGTCTTTACGCCTTTTGGAAGCCTCAGTCATGATTCTCAGGCATTCTTCCTGAGGGCCTATGGGAAGACACCACAGAAGAACCTCGTAATGCAATATTTTTCTGCAGGCATCTCAGGGAAGTACAGAGTTGCCACATGGGATCTACCTTTTTAAAGCAAGTTTCTCTGTTCTAGGTCCTTCCAGGTTTTCTTTCCCTCTTGGTCATTTATTTATTTATTTGTTTAAATTTCTATACCGCCCTTCTCCAATGTAGGACTCAGGGCGGTGAACAGCCAAAGTAAAAACAAGACATACATACAAAACATACAAAATCTAAAATCTGTTTAAAATAATTAAATAATTTTGGCCGTAATTAAAACATTCCAATTTAAAATCCGTTTAAAATTTGACTCAAGCCAGCCCAGCTAGTTGAAATAAATGGGTTTTTAGGGCCCGACGAAAAATCCGGAGGTCTGTTATTGTACGTAGCTCTGGGGGGAGGTCATGATGGTTAGGACAGATAGGAGGTGTAGCCTCAGTGCTCCAGAGAGTGGGACCAATTTTAACTATCACATACTTCCATTTTATGAAAGAGATCCAGCCTTTTAAAGAAACAGTTTCTTTAAAACAAAGGTATTTTTTTAAAAAAAAAAACCTTGGTGTTACTCACCCCAGAAGGCTGAGCTGCAGAACCAGAAGCAGAGGAGGAAGCCTTTTATCCTCCCCATAGCTGTTAAAAAAGAAAAAGAAAGAGAAAGCGTTCAGATCAACGGTTCTTGGATGCGATACCTGAATCGCCAACAAGCTTCAAGCAGATATGAGTATCCGTCATGGTTCCATAGTTGTTATTTTCCAAAGCATTCCTTCTAAACTTGGTTTAGGAGAATCTACTGGTATCATCGCAGGGAAACAAAACAGTCCTGTGACTCCTTAAAAATTAACTAGATTATCACAGTGGTTATAAAACAAACTTATGGGAAAGAAGAAGGCATGCATAATAAAAAAAAGGAACAGATTTCTATATTTTATGCATACACATACATACGCGTTTTGAAATAACAATCCGTTAAATAGGAATGCCATAGTCCTCACCATTACAGGAAAGAGAAATAAGAAAGAGAAAATCCAAAATCCAAGGGATGGATAATTTTAAGGCACCTGCTTTTCTTTCTGTGGTTCTTTACTTTTAAACCGGGCCTGGAATGGATATCTTTATCTTAAGCTGAGGATCTTACTTTATCTATGCAGTATATTGAAAGAACACAAGAAGCTGTACTTATTTTTATACTCCTTGTAAGAATACAGCCTTTAAATAAGCAACTCGCAAAGGCCACTCATCGCCATCCCACGGAAGAAGGATTTCAATCTTCACCTCCATTTACACATTCATTACACTCTGGCTTTGTATTGCGAATCAGACTAATAGACGCATTAAGAGGTCGTGCCAAACCATAGTTTAGCACAGGATCAAAGCTCCTGTGGTTTATACAAACCACAAGGAGCCCCCTTGGCATCTTTCAGTAGACCTTTTCATAGGATGCCGAAGGGACCAAATAGGTGTTTGAGTCTTTACAGAAGGTTCAGGGCATCCATCTCCAGCCAATAATTATTGGGCCAATCTTGAATCCTGGCTACACACAATTTAATACAGCAATGAAACCTTTAGCATGGGGAGCATAAAGCTCCTGATGAATGAATGGAAATTGTACACTTTGGGTTAGACAGAGGAGCAGGAGTCACAGTGCTCCTCTCTTTTCTCCTCTCCCCACCAGGGACCTTCAAGAAGAGTTAGCAATTTTGCTCTGGCTTACATTAGCACCACTCTTCAGCATTTCATATGCATTCTTGATTTGATTCAAGCCGATAATGGTGCAATCGAAGTAACCCGTTTCATTGTAAATGCAAAGAAATCAAATTTAGCATTGGCCATAGTTAGCCAGGTAACATGACGATAAGCAGATAAGCAGTAACGGAGTTGGAAGGTACCTTCAAGGTCATCTAGTCCAACCTGGTGGACTACCTGGGCCTGGTGGCTCAGCAGACTAATAGCATTGTGATTAACACCAGCTGTCTGCAATTACTGTAAGTTCAAATCTCACCAGGCTCAAGGTTGACTCAGCCTTCCATCCTTTCTAAGGTAGGTAAATTGAGGACCCAGTTTGTGGGGGCAATAAGCTGACTTTGTATAAATATACAAAAAGTATGAAGGCTATTGCTTAACGCATTGTAAGCCGCCCTGAGTCTCCGGAGAAGGGCGGCATATAAATCAATTAAAAAAAAAAAAACCTGCTCATGCAGACCTATACTAGGGATTTGAACCGCTGAACTGCCAACCTTTCTGACCGACAAGCTCAGCGTCTTAGCCACTGAGCCACCCTAGCCAGGCATGACAAAACTAGGCAAGTAAAGCTAGGAGCTTCCAAACCCCCTTCTTGAGACTACACCATTTGAGAGAAAGAAAACTCTAAACTGGTTTCAGCTTGTAGTAGTTTGCTTTTGGTCTACTCCATTATAGTCAAACATGACTTCCCAGCTTGTTGCCAGCATAGTAGCATTACTCAACCCATCTAGAAAGATGGCAAGCCCACCCAACAGTACAAGAATGAGCCCTCTTCCATTATACCTTCACACGTCTGTCCTCTCACCTGCAGACAACGTCTGTGGATCCCACTGCTGAGTTCATGTCACCCATTTATACAGTTTGAGCAGTGACGCGTAGCTTCTCCTTATCCTCCATCTGAAATTGTTTGCATTCACCCCCTGCTTGGAGGGAACAGCAGGTTCAACCTGCTATCCTATCTTTATTTTAAAAAATGCTCGCGTCAGTTGTCATATAAACGTCAAGTTTAATGTGTTCCTAGTGGAGTTTGGGTGGAATGTCGCCTGCCATGTTATGAACAACATTCAAGTCTACTAGCCTTTAGATTTCAATTAAAATTATTTTAATACACGAGATTAAAAAAAAAAAAATTCCTGCCTTTTCTTTCTTTTTTTTTTAATCAACACCCAGCTAGATCGTGTGCAATTGATTTGTGCGCTTCTTGCATTCTACAGATGTACTAGTCATTTCTCAGGCTTTCCCACAATGGAATTCTGATGTCCTATTATCCAAAATTAATGGGACAGAAAGTACCATCGACACGGTTAGAGCAAGCATAGAAGCACAGTGTTGTTTTGATCAGCCTGAGGTCCTGAGGAATCTTCAAAGCAACCAACTAAAGTCTAGGTGTTTTGATTTGATGGGGTTAGACATCCTGGAGCATCCATTGACCTATATTATCTTGAGACTTAGCACAATCAAAGCTGATTTAACTAGTCATTCAGAATTTCCCTCTAAACGGAGCTGCAGTTTTAATTTCTGGGAAAGACGTGGCCTTCAGATAGGATCAATCTCACGGTTGCACCAAAAAGGCTGATCTAGAAGGCAACTCCTCCGGACGCAGAAACATGGAAAACTAGTCACCTGGAAAAGATTATCGTAGCCTCCAACTCCCCAACCCATCCATACGCATTAAGGCTATCTTGTCATCAAACTCATTTAGCTTTTACACGAATTCTGGCACGTTTCCAAATGTTGGGTCTGCAAATGGAACACGCAAGCAGATCTGTATGACTGTGTCCCACGTATGGGACCAGTCTCCTAGAGGTATTCTGAAAATGTCCTAGTTTGTCCCTGCATCCCTAAAACAACTCCCAAAAAGATTTGCCGGAAGGTCTTATTCAGAAAACAAGCTGCCATCTTTGATAGACCAGTTATCCAGATACAGATTAAAAGAGTTGGAAGCAGTGGTGAAATGTAAAATTTGTTACTACTGGTTCTGTGGGCATGGCTTGGTGGGGGGGGGTTAATGTGACTGGGTGGGTGTGGCCAACTTTTTTTCTTTTTTACTTTACTTTACTTTACTTTTATTTAATTTGTATACTGCCCTTCTCCCGAAGGACTCAGGGCGGTGAACAGCCAACAATAAAATACATACATACAAAATTTAAAAAACAGAACAAACATCGAATTAAATAATTTGGCCCAAACAGATTAAAACCCCAATCAATTTAAGACAGATTTAAACTTTGAAAATTAAAAGATATTAAAAATATTAAAATATTAAAATTGTTTAAAAATTGTTTAAAAAGAGGGAGAAAGTTAGGCCAGGCCCGCCTGGTGAAATAAAAAGGTCTTTAGAGCGTGGCAGAAGGTGTGCAGATCCGGGATCCTCCGTATCTCCGGGGGGAGCTCGTTCCAGATAGTAGATGCCCCCACAGAGAAGGATCTCCTGGGGGCCGCCAGTCGACATTGTTTGGCCGATGGCACCCGGAGGAGCCCTTCTCTATGAGAGTGTACCGGCTGGTACGCTTTACTTTTAAAAGCATTTTTTCTAACAACCCTCTTTCGGCCGGTTTTTCTACAACCTCTTCTTTTCTACAACCCTTTTCTACAACCTCTTCTTTTTCTACAACCTCGACAACCTCTTTTAAAAAGTGCTTTTAAAAGGCTCTGACGATCCCAGCTGAGCCTCATCAGAGGCTTTTTCTTTTCTTTTTAAAAGCATTTTTCGGCGGCCGAAGAGTTTGTAGAAAAAATGCTTTTAAAAGTAAAAAAAAAACTTTGATGATCGCGCGGCTCAGCTGGGCATGGTGGGGGGCAGGGATTTTTGCTCCCGGTTCTCTGAACCACCTGCTGCCATCGCTACCGGATTGGGCGAACCGGTCCAAACCAGGAGCATTTCACTCTTAGTTGGAAGGGACCTTGTAGGTCATCTAGTTCAACAGACACACCCCTGCCCAAGCAGAGAGACGCTACACCATTTCTGACAAATGGCAGTCCAATCTCTTCTTGAAAGCTTCCAGTGATGGTGGGTTCCCACGACACTGGTGGGTTGCTATCGGTTCGCCCCAGTTCAGCGGCAGGAGGCTCCGCCCACCTGCCCAGATGTCATCAAATACACTCTGCACATGCGCAGAAGTGGTGCGCGCATGAACGAACCAGTAGCAAAGGTAAGTGAAACCCACCACTGTCCCACAACTTCCAAAGGCAAGCTGGTTGGTTGTTTTCACTGTCAGAAAATTTATCCTTATTTCTAGGTTGAATCTCTCTTTGATCAGTTTCCATCCATTATTCCTTATCTGGCATACAATCTATTTTTGGAAAATAGCTTGACCCCTTCCTCTCTGTGGCAGCCTCTCAAATATTGGAAGACTGCTTCATGTCTCTCCCCTGGTCCTTTCTCTTCACTAGACTAGCCATGCCCAGTTCCTGCAACCGTTCATCGTATATTTTAGTCTCCAGTCCCCTTAATCATCCTGGTTGCTCTTCTCTGCACTCTTTCTAGAGTCTCAACATCTTTTTTATAGTGTGGTGATTAGGATAGGCAACTTGCATGGAGACTAAGAATTGAAGATCAGTAAAAATTCTAGTCTATTTCTTGTTTACCCAATGAGACAATATCCATAATCTGTTCTGAAACAAATCCCTAGGGGGGATTATAACCAAACTACTGATGCCCGCATCCTATCCATGGAGCTTTTGTGCAATCTTCTCCATGTTCATAACTATTTGTGTAAATGACTCGGGGCCCGTTTCTTTATGCATCTTTTTCCAGCATCACTTTGTATGAATTTCCCTAAGGCAGTTTTTTTTTTTAAAAAAAAAACATTCATGTTCCTGATGAAAACTATTTTTTTCCCACGTATGGCTGTACTGGCTGCTGTTGTTTGAAAGCGATTTCAGATGTCTTTTTAACGGCTCTTTAGCCAAACAACTTTTAAAGTAAGCCAAAGGAAACCCCACTTCCTTCCAGCTTTGAAGACGATACCAAATCCGGTAACGAAAGGACT